CTATGTGAAAAGGTTCCTAAAGCTCTAGCAAAGAAAATCCACCCACGTAGTTGAAACCGGAGGCTAAACAAACAGCTACTGGAGCTTGCACTTTAATAAGAGGGTTTAAAAGTAGACGGTAAAACTGGAAAACAGCTAACACCTCAAACTTTGCCCTTAAAGTTTTAAAAAATCCAGGCATTTAAACAGTATACCAAAAGCACAGGTTCACATCAACAAATAATTTCCCTGCTACTTGTATACAGCTAAATGTAGAGAAATGTGACTGTCTTCAACCTTAAAGATAGAAAACCTGTTTTAGAGCAGAAGCTGTCATTTTGACTTTCTCAGCTAACACTGAACACCCCTAAACCAGCAGAGTAAAAAAAATGCTACAAGGCTCAAGTACATTTGTTTAACAATTATTTTATTTAGTTCACAACTCAAATTTAAACAGCAATGCTGAAACCGAGGCCATGCAAGCAGCCTGTGACAACACTGGCAGTAAGGGGTGTCCCGATACAACCTTTTAATTCCCGATACGAAACATTATACTGCAGCTTTGAGTATTGGCTGATACTGATATCGACCATTGTTGAATTACTTAAATAAAGAACAAAAGTCAGCAATAACAGGTATGAGAAGAAGTGACCCATGTTTTATTAAGCAATGAGTTACATTAACTTTAAATAGAAGCAGAGTGTTTCTATCAGCATATCACTATCTGAGATTTTAGATGTTAGGCAAAATGGCCCAATATTAGTTTGTTGGCTGATATCGGGTTGATATCTGATATTAATATCGGATTTGGACATACCTACTGAAGGAAAGGTGACAAATAATGGAGACAGGGTTTATACAGGAATGAGTAACTCTTATTTAATGCTCTTTTAGTGCTCTTAGAAATAATCTTAATGCCATCAACAAGTACCCATGACTCTCATATATACATGGCAAATTCCTTCTTCTTTACTGTCGGCAGGCTGCAATTCCTTGATTTCCCATCACTTTTGTTAAAGTTTGCATTTTCCCCATTCTCTTGCTTTTTCTCTGCCTCGAGCTTCTTTTTCCAGACATACGGCTCTACGATCAACAGGAAGCAGTATTTGCAAATATGCATTGCAAATGTATTGCAATATAATATATTGCAAAATATTTGCAAATATATATATATATAACAAATTGTTTTTATAAATTTTTTTTTCTAAATAAAGCATTTTAAATGCCATGATTATCACATTCAAAGAATTTTAACGCCAATTCAGGCCTTAATTTAAAAAAAATGATAATTTAATGACTAATGATTTTAATGACCCGTGGAAACCCTGGGAGATTTCTTTTTTCTTCCAGATTTTATTGTCACAGGTACAGAGCAACGAAATTAACTATCTGCATTTAACCCAACAACTTTGTTTTGTCAGTTTCAGACGGAAACTGACAGAATTTAACTCATATATTTTGTGTTAGTGTGTATTGGATAGGTATGTCAAAATTATTAATATTCTCAAAAGTATAAATACTTAAACGCTGTTTCCCAATACATTACCAATTTGTCATGGTATCCATACTAAAAACCACATTTTTTTGCATGTTTTTGCTAATTTCAGATTTCTTAATTATTTGCACTTTAAAAGAATAATACATCAAACAACCTTAAAATACTGTATAGTCAAATTGTCTTATATTTGGGTTAATTTTAATTTTTTTTGTATACTTATGTAATAGAGTCTCTGATTCTGCAGAGAAAGAACGTTCCATGTTGAGATTGAAAAAGGTGAGCTTTTCATTTTAATCAATATGTTTTTACGACTTTAATTATTCAGCATTATTTATTCAATGGCATCTATAATGGTAAAGAGCATTAAGTATTTTCCTGGGTATCAATATCGAGTTTGAAATTTTAGTTTCATGACAACCTTAGTGCACATGAACACCAGAACCTGAAACAGATCTACAATGTAATATTGTGTTTTAAATGTTTTGCTCCCATTAGAGTGTTTTTAATGGTAATATAATGAGCTATGTGTATTTTAAATGTTGTTGCACTGGGACACTAAGAAATATGCTCATGGCTGCTGATCTGCTGAGACTCAACCAGATGAGAGGATCCGTGCCACTCTCATATTAAACCATAAATTATTAAGCCGACACTTAAAGCCTGCAAGCAGAGTAAGGCAGGTAGGCCAACTCTCCTCACAGATGAAAAAATCTAAAAGAGAGAGAGAGAATTTTTTCTCTGACATTCAGCAAAGTGCTGTAATCGGATTTAAATTAAACAAGTGCATTATCAATTATACAAGCCGGATATTACAAATCAAGGACTATCATATTAAAAGCACAAATTTCTGTGTATTTCACATTTTTATTTAATAGCCCAGCTGAAAGTAAACGTTCTAAGGAAAGGTGTATACTGTTTTACTCAGCTCCTCAGGGTTAATACAGATGCTATTTTCCTGCTTGAAGGTGAAATCCCTCCTCATTATCACATCTTTTGCAGACACAGGTTTCCTTCCAGGATTGCTACGTTTTTGGCTCCATCCATCTTTTTATAACCTCAGACCCGCTTATCTGTCCTTCTGAAGAAAAAAAAAAAAAAGCTCTCTCCCACACAGTACTATGATGTTTTGAATTATCGTGTTGAATGTAATGATTTGACTTTAAAGGACCTAGAAATGAGTGCACCTCACTCTTTCCAGACCTTTACTGGTGGAATAATAGAACATATAGAATTGCCCTATCACATCATATAATTAGCTTATTACGTCAAATCCAAATAAATACCATGAAGTTTGCTGCTGTGAGTAGACAAAAACTGTCATGAGCAATTTGTATACTTTTTTAAATTATTTAACTGCTGTTTTCTTTATGCAACTAAGGCCCTATTAACACAGTGTATTTTTTGTTAAAAATAGAAACACTTTTTTTGGTGTTTCTACCATCCATATCAACCGCAAAATTGCACAATTTGCCTGAAATCGGGATAAGCTTGGTGACTTTCAAAAAATATACCACCTACTGTTGGCGCAGCAGGGAAATTACATATTTTGTAACATTTCTACTAGTGTTGTGCACAAAGAGGTGGTAAATACAACATTTTCCTGTTCACATACACTGAAGAAAAATCCTGTTTTCAAAGGATCCCTGTCCTGTAAAGCTGGTTCTATATCTGACATTTAAGGCTGTACACAGAAGAGGATTTTAAAAATTAAACAGGTCAGGTACAGATAAAAGGAAAAAGCCTCATCCATAAATAAGCATCTTTGATCACTGCCAGCAGAGATCATGTCAAAAAGACAATTTAATAAACTAGGGGTTGTTCTAGTTGCATAGATCATTTATACTCATCACAGGACGTTACTTCTTTCATCAGCTCATTAAGGCAAAGTCGTTCTGCGTTACAAATTGCAGCAAGGGCTTATCTAAGTGGGGTTACCAGCCTCATAAGCATAACTGCTGGACCGCAGTTTAAATTATGTTTTTTGTTCTTTTCTCTTAGTGTCTATCTGAAGCATGTCATTTATTTCATTTCTATCCAGAAATCAAGAACAGACCAACTGAAAATGGTGCAGAAAGAAAAAGAAAGCATAAAAAGTTGGGTCTGTACTAAATGATTCATTAAGACGTTGCTGTTAATCAAAAGAAAAGTTGCAAATTTATTTTCCTGCATGCTCGCTCAGTCCGATCCGGGAAGGCTGTGATTCCTGAAGCTTGTCTGCAAGTGAGTCACACATAAATTACAGAACCGTCTACGGTTTCCTCTCTAGCTTCTGCTTCGGTAGGAGAAATAGATTAGCTGCTTCTGTGATATCATAGAGTAAATGAAAACTTCATAAGAGAAAAACAACTTAGAGGCTGTAAATAAATCTTACTATCAACTGATAAGGGTGCAATAAAAATTAGCAACACTTAGTTTAATCAAAACCTACAATAAATACCTAGACACATTTCATTCAGTAATTCAGAGGGACACACATTCCACCTGAGTCTCTCAGCCCGTTGCCTTTCTATAAAAAGGCCTCTTTGAATTGCTTTCAGGCGTTGTGATCTGTTGTTCAGCGGTCAGTGAATGCATCACTGAACCGGCTGTACAAAATGCATTTGACAGCACACGCTTTTTATTCTGTGTGATTACAGGGGTTAATGTTAAAAGCGTCTCACTGCTCTTTCACGCAGCATTTCCTAAAGGACTTCATAGGAGCAAGAATGTTTTATTTTTTTTTTAAGCTGCCCCTCATGAAATATAATGACAAAGCGTGTTATCAGATGCTGTAACCCAGGTTACTGACAATAAAAGTATGTTTACGCAATATAAAGAAATTATGCAGCAATACATTTTATTCCTCCAACAAATACACACAGATAATAAAAAAAATCCGCCAGGTAAATATATGGATTTCTTCTTCAGGATTTAAAATAAATACCAAGATCTTTTAAAAAATACAGATGAAGGAAAATTTAATTTTGCTTCAATTAAAATAAGAAATTTAAGTGATTGACTGACTTGTCAATAAAACTTGTGTCATTTTGATTTCTTCTATCTGGTTTAATGCTGAAAAGCTTTTCTTGCTTCAGCTGTATAAAAAATGTGCAGGTTAAGCTTAAAGCTGAGTGTAATTTTTGAATGATTAGTCAAAAAATTGTAAAGGTGAAATATCAAATTGGTCTAAGGGGTGAATCGGTTACAGTCTCCTCTCTCAGTGTATATATCAACATAAGAAATTGATTTAGTATTACACACCATATCTGATCCTGTAACGACATCTTTCTAAAAATACGTGTATTTTTCCGTTAAATCAGACTGGTAAATTACATGACTGCAAAAGGTATAAGTAGTTTTACTGTTATAAGAAAATTTTATTTATTATTTTTTTTTTACATAAAACATCTTATCCCACTGGCAATTTGTCTTACCTCCCTGTTTAAATCAAGGGACAATACACTTAACTGAAACAATACAGTAACAATTATTGCAACTTTTGTTTTCTGTACAGGGGCCAGGATCCCTTCTATAGATTCCCTGGCTCCTATTGGCCCCTTTCTAAAGCAACCCATTGTTGTGCATAATATACACATTAAATTTACATTAAAGTTTACTCAATGCCCTCACTACTTGCAAAAACAAAGATTCTAAAAAACTATCTGAATGCCACAAAAAAGAAGAAAAAAAGAAACACCAATGTGGTCTAATTTCCACATTGATCAGTGGCTTTTGGTTCTTTAGTGAGTCTTGGAGCATCTTAAGACTTCGCAAGAGAGAACACTAGTGTAAATTAGGACTAAAACCGAGGGTGGCGACGACTGGAGCAGAATAGATCGTGTTGCCATCGGGGGCAAAACCCGATCCCTTAACACTTAAAGCAATCCAGATCCTTAAAATTGGAAGTCAAAAATCAGCCAAAAAATAATATTTAAAATAAATAACCACTGGATGACTTAAAAACAAATCCTTTTAGGCTCCACTTTTTTAAGTTTAATCTAAGCATTGACCTTACCCTGATTCTCCTCATAGCTGCCACGATCTCCATCCGACTGTTGGGCCTGGGCACGTCAAGACTTCCCACGTACTGTGGCACAGAAACACAACATTGGTTATTCAAGGATCCAGGCACTGCAAAAGTCGAATTAATAATCTAAAAGCAATATCATTAACCAAGAGACCTTGTGCTGGTCAGACTTAACCAATTATTTCCATGTGAAAATGCACATGACAGGCGTTCAGATCATACTTCAGAGAACAAAGTTAATCTGATTAAGTGTTTCATTTTGTTGTTAATTCAATCTGTATATTTTTTTTCAGAATTTCTGTTTCTAGCTCTACACGAAGTGAGATGTAGATGTAATAAGACAGCTCTGCAAAGCCCCCACCTCATGCTCCACCCAGCTGGCTTAAAATTAGCTACTTTTAGTTTGTGTTTTTGAATTTTTGCTTCTCTTGCCTTTTTGGATAAATAAATACGCAAGAAACCACCTTCAGCTTCGTCTCTGTATTTGGTTCCTCCTGTCAAACCTGCACCATAGTAGATTGCACTAAACCCAACATGCTTGGGTTTAGTGCAAAGTAAAAATCGCAATAAGATCGCAATCACTATATTGGTGAAATCGCAATTTGGATTTTGAGCAAAATTGTTCAGCCCTAATTTGAATTGCTGTTAGCAGCTGACTACATGATCAGATACCTTGAGTTTATTAACCAGCTGATCCTCTTGGTAGACTCCCACTGTTGCTCTGTTAAAAATAAACTACTGAAAAGGAAACTATATTCTTTAAATAAGCTTCTTTAGTTGCTGGTTACTCCATTTGTTTGTTTATTCAGTGTCCTAAATCTAATTATTTAGTATACATTTTTTTTAAATCAATCAATAACAATTAACGTAATATAATTGATTATGTAACAATATATAGATACATTAAAGTATTTGAATAGTGTTTTCTTTTTCAATTTTGTGGTAAATATTTAAAATCATTATGTTTTTTACTCAAGGTTTTTGTATGACGAGAAGCTCCAATTAGCCAGCTACCACCAAATAATATGGTGGACACTACATTTTGCATTTGGAAAAGAACCTCTTTCTTTGGGAAAAAAATAAATAATGGTATATTCTTTTTAGAAATAAGGAAGTTACCCTTTTTCAGATGATTTCCATGTCATTTGGCCATCTACAATTCCTTCAAATGTGACTTTCATTTGAAATTACAGCTTAGAAATTTGACGAAATGCTCCGTGAGTGCAGATCTCTCATTCCCCATTCTCTGCCTACCACACATGCTAATCATATGAGCCTCAGCATCGCTGCAGATTTTGCCTTCGAAAGAGAGCAACTTGTTTAATACACTATAAGATGATGATTCTTCTTGCATCACCTCAAATCTGTATGTTTCTATATCAAAAATAGGTTTAGTGTGGCAAAGAGGACACAGCCTTGCCTTATTAGTAAGCTCTTTGCAGCTTGCATATATTTAAATTCATGAGCAGCCCTGGAGAAAACGCTGCCTTTGATGTTGTTCTTATTTTGATTGCAGTAAATGGTCTGGGAACAGAAAATCCGAAACCACTGCCTTGGTAAAAAATATGTCTGTGCGGATTAATATTTAGAGACTTCCTGTTTGCATCCATTCACTTCTTTTCATTGATAATCTTTGAGTCATTACAGCAACTTTCATCACAAATATGTGATTTCTATCTTATGCAAGTGCTGTTGGATGGAGAAAGCTGGTTGTACAGTAACCCATATTTCAAAAAAAAAAAAATTATGGTAATTTTGTTCATTATTTAATTTACAAAGTTGTTTATGATCTAAATAATGACAAGCTTTTGATAAACCAATCAAATGAGCAGCAGTCTGCCAGAGTCATGCCTTTCTCCAGGAGTCTATAGGTAAAAGGCGGGATACACCATGGACAGGTTGCCAGTGCAGCAGGACGCCACATAGGGACATACCACCATACACACATTCTCAACACCAAGCCAATTAACCTAACAGTCCTGCTTTTGGACTATGGGTTTAAGCCGGAGTGCCTGGAGAGAACCCACGCATGCACTGGGAGAACATGGAAACTCCTTGGAGTAAGAACCTCGGCCTAGAACCCGGGACCTTCCTCCTGCACCATGCGACCCATCTCTTTATTCATCAAATGTTTCAGCGTGCATCATGGCCTCAAAGCTTGTTGTTATTCCTGATTGGCTCAGAGTCAAGGGTTTGGACACAATCAAGTATTTCTTTTGAGTTTTTCTATAACAATTAACTGATTAACTAATAAATTAGGCAAGGCTCACACTGATTAGGGAATGGCTGCAGTTCTTGTCTACTTGTCCCAATAGATTTAGGGTTAGTCCCAATGGCACTGCATCTAGCCTGACCCAGCTGTAAATACTAAAGCAAAAGTTTAAGTGAGTCTCTGCTCTTCTAAGGAATTCTAGAGCAGAACTTGTTAGAAATATGCCTTTTCATCCCCCAGTAACTCCACTGGTTCCTTTTTTTGCCATTTCATTTCCACTTGTCAGGTAAGTTGGCAAGTTGAAGTGTTGATTTTATTCAGAAAGTCTGGTGGCTGACCTTTCCTGTTTTGGTTTGTGAAAATAAACAGCTTGGTCTGGGTGTCCAATCTAATGTTCTTCTGACAGAAGCATAGTCAGTCTGAGTCGATTGTAAAACATTAGTAAGCATATTTTAAAATAAAATAGAAAAAAAAACCTATTTGGTTCCTTTGTGGACCCTTGCCCCTATTACTCCTTGCTAAAGGCTAGAGCAAGGGTCTGCAAAGTGCCGCTAATGAGCTGCATTGCCTCTACAATGGCTCTTAATATTGGCTAAAAATAAAAAAATGCCAACTACTGGATTTAAATATATCAACAAATACTATTTACAAGCTTCAGAAGGTTTTAAAGATTATCTGAAAATAATTTTTCACTACAGATTGATACAAAAAAAAATCTGGAATATGTTATTAGATCTATTTCTCGTCATTTGGTCTGTTTAATTTTTACATAAAATAATATCCTATACAGCAAAATCCAAAATCAACGCTTCTTCTTTATGAACCTTTATGCTTTGTCCTCATTTTGAAAACAGAAAATAAGCTGCTTCTTTGTTTAAAATGGCAACAGCATTCCCCTTGATATTAAAAGAAATTATAATTTTAAGTTGTGTTTTATTTAAAGACCGTTACAGATTTGTGGCTCTGAAGAAATGAATCTCTGGATTAGAAAGGTTGCAGAGTCCTGGTCTAGAGACACACAAACTGAGGATTTCAGACTTTCCTCTGTCCATAGATATGCATGTAATGAAAGGTCAGAAAGTAAAAGAGCCAGTGGATTTATAGGGATGCCATTCCAACCCCCAGTTCCTCTTCTCTGTGGACACCATTCACAGAGATCTTTATTGTAAAACAGCAAGCAGCGCCTTGCAAGAAACCGTTAAAACAAGGGAGTGGTACAGGTCCAAAGTTCAACAAATACTAGTTTCCTATAAGGCTGCTTTTATCTTCTCAGTTTTCCTACTATCCTATTTACAGGTCCAGTTAACCAGGAAAACAGCCAGGGAAATATATAGACTATATAATTAAATACATCAAATATAAAAAATACATTTATATATATTTCAAAAAACATAAAGTGATGGAAAATTTTGTTTCTAGTTTGTTTTCTGGAATACCCTTTGCTTTCCATGAATTAATGACAATGAATGATTACATGTTGTATGTCATGTATTTATTTTATAATGCTTATGAGACTCATTATAAAATGAGTCTCATAAGGTGGGGCGGGCTTCTCTTCTCTGCAACACTGAAAGTTCCATAACTGTTTGCAGGCTGCATAGAGGAAAACATGCTGTCTAATCTCACCAAGACAAACTGAGAAGTTATTTTACTGCAGTTTGTCTGTAAATATCTCCACAGCCTTTCTGTCCTCACTTTTAAGACAAATAACTGTGCAAGCGAAGAGTAACTCTGTAAAGGCATAAAGCATCTGACATTTTGAGAAAATGTTGATCTTTTCACTAAACAAGAAACTGGACTAAGTCCTTTTTATCTTAACAGTGGATAATCTTTTGTTTCTACAACAGTGTTTTGCATGGATTAATAACTCTGCAATATCTGACCCTTGACCTTGAGCTGACCAGACTTAACAGAAGCTTTAATCTCACACTCCCTGCATACAGTTTTAGTTCCCTGGATGGTTTCATGTTAAAAGAAAATGAGGCCATGTTTACAAAGCTCTAAACAGATTTTGTTCCCTATCAGTCCTATTAATTTGAGTAAATAAAAAAAAAACATTTTTAGAAAAAATAAATGCAAATAAAGGGCAGGACTAGTTTAAATAGATGGGTTCTCTCATTCATCTGTCAGATCTGCTGTTGATTCTGCGTTTGGGATCTGAAATGATGATGATTTCTGGGATAAACCTGGAATAAAGCAGGAGCTGCTGATGCCATGTGTTCAAACTTCCTAATGGATCCGCCCAGTATACACCTGCCACCAACACATGGTGACACATCACGGGTATGTGGCCAAAAAACCAAACAAAAACAAAAGAGAAATAGTCAGTGTGGTCAGACACAATGACTGGATCGTGTTATTTCACCTTGGCTTGGAAGTATATCCCGTGCTGGTAAGCCTCCTCGTTGTGGAGCGGCAGCCTGGAGTCCGCCACATCGTCCACCAGGTTGTACCTGTTCCTCACGGGCATCCCGGACTCCTTTCCCTCATGCAAAGAAAACACTGAACAGAAACTAAGCGGATCGATCCAGAAACGCTACAGCAGCCCCAGGATGTGCGCGCAGCGCAGGTTGTTCCCGGTGGGAAGGCTTCCCATGGCGCTGCGCTCTGCTCCAACACAGCCCGACCTCAGGAAGGACAAAACTGCGCGGCTTTTTTTTTTTCCCTCTCACACACAAACAAAAATCAAAACAAAAAAATCAAAGAGGGTATCCTTTCACAATAACCCCTCTAATAGAAAAAAACAAACAAATAAAGGCAGTATTTGTGCTTTCTTTCCCAGGGCAAATCTGTCCGCAGGTGATAAATCCAGAGTCCTGTTGGTGGATTCAGCGCAGCTCCTGCTGCAGACGAGCTGAGCGTCTCCCCCTCCTTCCCTCCCTCCCTCTGCAAAGCACAAAGCGACTCCCTCATTGGAGCGAAGTTCCCAGGCATGATGCAACCGGGAGCTGGGAAGACAGCCAGCAAACAAAGTGAGTCCTCCCCTCAGGAGGTGAAAAACAGAAGTCTGCAGCTGACTTTACCGTGGGAGGCTAATTCTGCAGATATGTGAGAGTCCCCAGATATGCAGGGCCCTGCAAAAGTATCCATGCACCTTGATCCACGTGGTTTTGTTTTTGTTTGTTTTGATTTGATTTGATTAACAGAGGTGGGTAGCATTTCTAATAGTAGCACTACTTTATCATATTTTAACTAAATAAGAGAGTAAAAGCATTTGGTAAAACTGATTTACTATTTAAAATTGAGCAATAAAACTGAGAAAGATTTAAAACAGCAAATTATTTTCTTTTTTTTTTTTTCAAAGACTAATGTAGTTATTGAACGTTTAAACAATATGTAAAAAAAAAAAAAAAGAAATCCAGGCCAAAGACACACTTGAAAAAAAGATTTATTTAAAATTAAACTTATAAAACCAGTACCTCATGTGACCATAGATAGACAGACAGACAGACTGTGGGATGTTGTATGGAGCTTTATTGTTTAAAATAAGCTTTTTGTTATCCAGAGAAAGTGCATTTTACTCAGGTAAGAGTAGTGACATTTATTAAGATATCTATTTAAGTAAAAGTAAACAAGTATGGTGCAATAAAGCTACTCCTAAAATATATATATTTTTTTAATCAAAATCATACTAAAGTAAACATAGTGAGTTAAATGTTACTGCTTACTCTGTTAATGGCACAAGTAGTGTTAAATGGTGAACTGGGAGAGATTTAAATGATTGAGAAACTTGAATATAGTAAAATTTCACATGTTTTGACCAAAGGCATAAGAAAAAAAGAAAAACTGGAGGGTATATGGTGACTCTGGAGGAGCCGCAGAGATAACGAGCTCAGGTAGGAGACCTGTTGACAGTACTAGTTGAATGGATTGTAAATATTTATCCTTTTGAGTTACAAGACGTTACTGTAAACACATTATGTTATCTGATGTGACAAAGTTGAACTTTTGCACACAGCATAACCACAGTGTTAGCATTTGTCTGTGACTAGAAACATTGTGGTCTGAGCAGGTGTGAAATACTATCAAGATGAAAACCGTAGGAAAACCCATAGAAGCCTGTTACAGTGGAAACACTTCAATAAAAATAGTGCATCAGCTATATTGGTTTTTAAAATCTATATATTTTTTCATATTAGAATTAAAGGGGAAAAAATTCTACATTTCTTTAAAAAATGTCAGCAATACTATTGTTTAATTCATTGAATCTCTGCTTTTCTTTTCTTTTTCTGTTTGTTTATCTGGATGCCTGAAGCACAAGATTATAACATGACATGAATTTGAAAAAAAAAAACTAAAAATAAAATTCCTAATGTTCTACATGTCTGTTGTTTTCTGCAGGTGCCGTTTGTAGGATATATTTTTTCTGCTTCTCTTTTGCAGAAGGAAGGGTAGAGTTAGGATTTTCTCTATAATTAAAACCAATAAATATAAAAAAATTCTTGATAGTAAAATTAGGATTTGTCACTTTTTTTTGTCTTCTATACTCCCAGCACTAGTTGCTGTTTGTCTTTTAACAAATAAGACAGGAAAAAATGCATTTATTTCCTCATTTTGAAAAAACTCACATAGCCTTAGGCTGGATTTATGATGAAATGATTAAAACTTCTACGTACATTTTGCGTTTTCCCTCAGAAAGTCCATAGGACCCCTTTACAGCCATTAGTATGAGTGTTAGGATGAGTTTTTATGATTATTATGTCACTTTTTTATGCACAGTAAAGTTGAGAGGCAAGTGGGAGAAATGGCGAGTTGATTCTTGCTCTGCTTTTATTAAGCTGCAGCTGCTGCTGATGAAGTCTAACATGTCGTAACGCAATACAGACCTGCAGGTGCTTGAATAAATACTAAACAACACATCAGTGATGATTATCATCCCATTATTTTGATGCAGGAGAATGGCTTCATTATTCTGACCTACAGAAGTTTACATAGAGCGCCCCCTGTTGGTTCTAAAGTTAACTGAAATCAAATAGTGCTATTTCATGTTTTAAAATTGTGTTTTTAGTAGGTTACTTTGCATCTTTTTAAAAAGGTGTTCTGTAGACTAATCATTCCAAATTAGATCTGTTCATCAAAAGGTGCAGGAGACATTTTAACTGCATGAGGAGCAGAAGGTTTTAACATTTAGGCGGACAAAAGGGTTTTTAATAAACCAAATATCTTTAAAGAAAAGTTAATTTTTGTTTTGTTACAATTACTAATTTGTATACAGTTTAGCGTGTAATGACATTAGTATTCAAATATCATAACTGTACATTGCCTGAATTTGATAACCCTGTAAACCAAACAAATACTTACAAGACCTGAGGAATTAGTGTTTTACTAAGAAAAAAGGATTCCTTTCTGTTTTATGTATTTTTTTTTATCAAATAAGTGTCTATTAGCTGCACATATGTAAAGCAAATCTAAAAATCAAATGCTATTCACTTATAGTACAGATTTAAATGACGTTACTGTGTTTACAGTAGCATCATGTAACCTACAACTACCGACATTTAGAATTACCGTAAAAAAATAAATAAAGTAACGGCCACTTCAAGTGGGAAATAAATCATATGAAGATGTTAATTCTCATTAATGAATCCACTGTACTTCTCAGCTTCTGTATCTTCTTATTAGATTAATTACCAGAGTAAAACAAGCTGTTATCTTGGTTGTGGCCAGAAACAACAGGAGGATCCATTGGTCTATAGCACTCATTCTGTAAAACAAATGAGATGTTAAAAACAAACAAAACTTTTTAAGGTCAAATATTAATAGCACAACATATGACTGATTTATTAATTGGAGCATATTCTGTGTTTTGTAAAAAAAAAAGAAAAAAAAGTTTTAATAATCCATGATTTGGCCCAATATGCCCTCCTTTATATTTCAATCTCACGTTACCAGATAGAGGCTTTGTCCTTTCGTGATGCATTACATTTGCCCTGAAACGATCCCGCTGCTCTTTTCCAACAGTAGGTCATACATCACTGTGATTAACCGGATGTCTTTTGAGGGCCATAAATGGCACGCTATGGTCGGGTCAACCTATTAGAAGCATAGGATGGATGTTTTATTAATGTGCTTTGGTCCAAATGTATTATTACACCTCAGATCCCTTCAAAAATCAGCAAAACATTAAAGAAAATAAGGGTCCTGTATTTAATTTCTGCAACAATAGGTACTGGCTACCTTTAGATTGAACATATTTCTTAAACCCAGTAAAAAAAAAAAAATCAGAGAGCACTTATGCTGCAAGTTGCTATTTAAGGTAGGAAGTGGTTGCAGTTACCGTGTTCCTTAGAAACCATTTGTAATATTGTCACTTTCTGGCTGGATTACTGCTAAGCTGCGGCTCATTTACTGTCTGAAAGCTGTACAAAACAAGATTTCCTTTTGCATACAGTCCGTGTACAAAAGGACAATAAAAGTTGCCTAAGTCTAAGGATTATTAAAACCTGTAATATTAAAATAAACCTCCTGGGAAAAATACCGGTATTCATATCTGCATTTTGCTTTATGCAATACATGATAGGAGGAACATAAACATGTAGAAGGTGCACTGCTCAGATTAAACCAAAATGTCATTTTGTCGTGTATAGAAAATACAAAGTGTTATAATAAACATGCAGAATATAACTGTAGGTTTGCATTGTTTTCCATACACAGGAGAGCTGTTCAGTTCATTGAAGGATACATCTAATTAAGACCATGTTGGAAGACCCTCCTCTACAAGGACAAGGTCCAGTTAACCAGAGTATAGAGGAGCTGAGCAGCTCCTTTAGTGAAAGACTTTTACTCCTCGTTTGTAAAAAGGAGCGCCACTGCAGGTCATTCATTCCTGCTGCCATCAGACTCTACAATGTGACTCTATAATGTCAATAACTTGGGGAAAATCTAATATGCAATCACTATTTAATACCCTGTGCTTTTATATTTTATACCTAGTGCATTGGCTATATACCCATGTAAATACCCTGTGCAATAACCCTTTATAATAATCCTGTTAAATAATAGACTTCAGCTGTATGTGTACATATATGTGTGGACACACTGTATATACAGTATATACTCCAATGCACCTTTTCCTCCTTTTGGCACCTTCTTCCTCTTTTTAACTATTAAGCCAATGTAACGAGTAAATTTCTCCACTGTGAGATCAATAAAGTCAATCAATCAATAACAATGCACCACAATACGCTCCACTGAATCTTAACTTCATTTTTTTTTGCTTATAGCTCCACTATTTGTATAGCTTTAACTTCACACCTAAGTACTTTAGTCCATTTACCCTGTAAGGTTAAATCTAACATTTAGTTTGGTCTCTAAATTCATAAAACCTTGAAGCACAACTTCACAGAAACAAAACACACACTACAGTAGTAGTAGTAGCAAGTTTAATTCACAAAATTAGAGTTCACATCACAATACACACTGACTGTACACACATCTCTTACAGCAACACAGGCATTAAACGTCTGCAGACAATAGATGAGTCTGCAGCAGTAGCTTGAATTAAATAAGCAATAAATAAAATAGATTTTGACAAAAGAATAATAAGACCGGTGTGGTGGTGGTATGTATTTTAACTGGCGCATATTTATAATGCTTACACATTCATCAACGCTGCACGTCTGTGTTTAAAACGCATCACCAGTTTTTCAACAGGCTAGAGTGATGCATTTCAGACATATTTGAAGAAGTTCTTTGTGATACCTGAGAGCCGTCCAGGGTGGTACAGATGAAACCTGATCAGTTACTGACTTTTTATAAATGTTAAGATGGAAAAGGCTGTAAGAGACACATGCAACTAGCCTCCAAGTTTTCAATAAAAACAATAAAACCGTGTCATTTCTGCCTCACTCTAATCTAATGACAAAGGTAAACCCAAACTCTGGCTAATGGGTGGAAAACAGAGCAAAATATTCCCTGAATAAAGACACGCAAACTTCTCCTTCAAATGTACACAAAGTCTAATCATTAACAATCTGGAATATTTTTAGAAAAACAGAGAAATAATAATTCAAAAATGTTTAAAAATGAGCACACATTCGTGTTCATTTGATCATCTGCTGCCAACCCAGACATTCAGTACCTTAATCAGGAACAGGCTACACAGGCTGAGCTACACTACATCAGATAAGCCAACTGAAAGAAAACAAAGATAAAAATGCCAAAGCACAAAAATTAAAAAATCTGTTTTTTTTTATCTTTGGATATACGGATTACATTCCCCAAAGTTAAAATGATCTCTTTTGACGTCATTTGTTCATAAATGCCGGAAAGCTACAGTAGCTTGTGCTCTACCTTGTTTATCTTCACTTTACTTGCCCCACGTTTGGCTGAATTAGGGTTAAAACTCACTGGGAATCAACCGCGTCCAAACATTTTGAGTTAAACTCATCAAGGTCCATTCAATAAACACCATTAAAAAATAAGGTGAACTTAAGATTCCTCAACTGTTGGAAACAACTATGGTACTTAAACACAATACGGGCTGGGACACATGACAGCAAACACACCCTTCTCCATATTTACTTTCATTCCTGACAAAAATGAAACATGGAAGCAGAATTTAACTCCTTCCTTACTATGTGGCAAAATAAACGTGGTTCCTCATCAAACCTTCTCTGTCACAATTCCAGTTTTTAACTTTTTAAATGTTCCCAATTCAGATTTGAAATTTAGTGATTAAGCCATTTTTTCTGGGCTATTTTATTATGTGTAAACATAACCTCCTTACTAGAAAGGATATTTTCACGTTTACCATTTTGAGGAGTGCCTCAAAGCAATAAAGTATGCAATTTTCAATGAAATCAGAATTTATGGATTTCTACTTAATAGTGAACATGAAAGAAATATATATATATTTCTTACCATAGATATTTTACCTCCACTTCTAAATAAACGGTCTAGTTAGAGGACGTATTTTTCTAAGTTTATTTTATTTACGTTTTTTTTTTGTTTTACATATTTCATATTGGTGGCTGTAAAAAGGTGGCCATTGTATCTGTTTTGGTTGAATAATTCAAAATGTCATTTAAATAAACAAAAACAAAAAAAGCAGCACAACAATGAATAAAGCAATTGCACACATCCTAAATATTTATGAAAACTGACCTTTTTACTTATTGTTCTTATGTGTTTTCATTGATTCTTTTGCTAAGGAAAGCCTCAAACTTCTGGACTTATACATTGCTATAAATGTTTAGCTTAAACTGTAAGGCAGACCTTTTCGTTTTCGTCGGTGCCTGGATAAACTCCAACCTTCAGAGCATTTGCTGACAGGAATCATTCCTGCTTGGGTAACCTCCAGTTATTAAGACTCAGTAGTTTTAAGCAATAGAATTTCTTCTCACTACAGTTAAAATGAAAATAGACCTTTCAGCAGGTATGAGTGGCCTGGATCTGTAAGACCTGACATTTCAACCACCGTAATAATCCCCTAGCTGGCTTTTTGTTCCAAGAAAGGTGAAAGTTTCATGTAAAAATATATATTTATGTTAATGTTTAAATTTGTTTCAGCTGGTGAGGCAACCGTGTTGCTGTAAATGAGCCTTCCTGTTTGCCCTAAGAATGCGCACTCTCCTTTTCTCTTTTACTGTCACGTTATCATTAGGAAATAATACCTATACTAGAAGGCTTGCAGAAAAATTGTTACATTTTCTGCAAATATTTTAAACTTAAACTGGAGATAAATGATGGGTGATTATTATCTAAATGGAGAATTTAAAACATAGCTGTAGTTAAATACTTTGAGCCATATTGAAAAAAATCCCATCTGGTATCCATCAAGGTATGTTTATGTTACTGGGTTCATGCACCAGACCAGGCAAACAAATAAACATTACAACAGTTCTGTAGTGTTGGAGAATAAAATCAGACAGATGGAACGAAAGGAATGGCGGCAGGAAAAGTTTCAAGTAAAAACTGCAAAACAACACGATGGAAACACTGCAACAGGCGCTGCCTCACTCTGGAGCTCCATTTACTGTCCCTGCCATCCTCTCGTCGTCCCCCTGCTTCTGATGCTGTAGTCTGGCATAAGTCACAGCATCTCCCCTGGGATGGAAGGAAAGGAGGAGGCGGGAGGCGAAGGAGGGTGTGGTAATAAAAGCAGGTTTAAAGTAAGTGGGGGAAAAGGGGCAAGCATGAGAGGAAGTTAGAAATTAGTGCAAAACTCACTCCATTAAAAACTGTTTACATTTAAAAAGGAATGCTGATTAGGATAGGCAGGCAAACATTTAAGTTCACGGATTAAAATGTTGTGAGCTGCTTTTAATGCAAATACCTGTTATAAAGTGATGTAATAGGAAATAAAAAACAGCACATGTTTAATTACAAACTCTGTCACGTGTTGCATGCATGTTGCATTATAACCAGAGGCTGTCTCACTTTTTGCCTAAGGATGCGAGGCCATAAAGCACGCCGGTAGCGAAGGCGATGGCGTTTCCAAACAAGGTCGTAAAAGAGAAGCTCAGGAACACGGGAAACAGGGCCATCCTGAACCAAGAACAAAAAAAAAAAAAAAGAAACAGGAGAAAGTTAGCCGCTGAGCAAACTTAGCATATAAATGAATTACTGCAAACCAGGGATTCCCCCAAATAACTTCTATTTCTGTTCCCCTGATATCAGGCATTCTGACAATAGATGGTTGTTCTTACCCACAGTAAAAGAGGGCTTTCTGCCAGGGTTTGAGTTTGTCTGCGCGGGCTGCGATCGCGTTTGCAAACTCTATGAATTGGCAGCAGAATGGGACCTCACAAAGGAACAGCACGAAGGCATTCAACCTTAAGACAGAAGGACGGGGCCACAAACACAGCGGAGGAGGGAATTATTCAGCCGATGCAAATCTTAGACACAGAAACATTATTCACCCCTACAGATGTTAGAAAGTAATAATATATAATAATATCTGAAAGTCAATGAGTAATAATCAATGTATACTTGTTAAAGGTTTAGTGGAGGATGTTCTTTTTATGGGTGGATCATCAAAATAAGTGGTCCTCCTAATTGTCATATTCTTTTTATTCATTAACATTCTGGTAATATGTTTACGTAAGGCTGTAACACATGCTGCATGGAGAGTCTGGCAGAGTGGAAAAATTTCAAGTCTTCTTTTGGAAAGTAAGTTTGTATGAGCGGTGCAAACAGCTAATTTTACATACGGATGGACGAGGTGTACTCTCTTGTGCGTTTAATAGGTGTTCCCTCTCAGGATATATTAAAAGTATAGTGGAGGAAAATCCTCCACTATACTTTTAATGTTACCAAGTTCGGACTGTTCGTGGTATAATTACCAACCTTCTGGCAAAAACGCATCAGCTAAAATGAAAGTGAGTCAATGTAAAGTCCTAATGTATAGAAATATAAACTTGTATGTGTGTGTCGGCTTTCTTTCTGACTTTAGCCAGAAACAATTTCTTATTTTATGTATTACATAGAAGTACCTTAAGAATACATATTAGATTTTGTCACATTAGAGTCACAAACATCTGTGTATTTTGGGGGGTTTCATCAAATAGACATAAAGGAGTCAATATTTGGGAAGGCTTTTTATAAAAGGACCAAATATTTTATTAGACCCACCTTTATTGGTGCATATATTATAGGTTTGTCTCTAACAGGCTTTCAGATATTGAACCTGTAATGTTTTTGTCCATTCTTCTGAGCCACATAACTTGATTTTCTGTGATTCTTTTTAGTGATTTAGATACAAGAGGCCCAACTGCTTTTTCCTATTTTTGTTGTGTATCTGCAGCAGTACATTTGATTTAAATAATTTGCTTTACCCTCTTAGCATGTTATTAAATGTTGCCACAGCCTGTATATCACCCATTATTTAAGTCAGGCAGCAGGGGAGACACCTAAACATTGAGCCCTTAGGGCAATGTACAGAACAAGTAAATGTTTGGAAAAAGTTCTTTTAAAAATATTTTTTAGTTTCAGCAAATGCAAACAGGAAAGAAAAACAAAACCAAAAAACCTTAAATCTAAAGGTGTAGATTAATGTGTAATAATTAAGGGACTTACACCATCCATACTCCAGCAGCGATGTTTAAAGGGTTTACAGTGACGCAGTTCCACACTCCTGATACAGCACAGGCTAAATGAGGGAAAAGACAAAGCGGCAACACTATTACTGTGATAAAACACATTGTAAGTCATGGGATCAGACATAAAACATTACAACTCTTTACTGGAAACTTTTCAGAGAAGTGAATCTATAAGAGAAATATCTGGCTATAAAGGGATCAATGTCAGTTCCTTCTGTGAAAAACATTAACTTGAGAAGTACAAGAAGCTATTCCTGAAATAAATCTGTATATTTACACTCCAAATGACAAAGCTGGAACACATTAGCATACGTCGACACTGTTTTAACCTTTAGATGTTAAAGATTTGACTTGGAGTTTAAATAAGAGATAAAAAAAATGATTCAAAGAGCACCAAGTCAAGAAAACGTTTTCTTTATGATTAAGATGAGTCACTTAATACAGAATTAAGAACATGTTTCTTTCATAAAAAATAAAAAAACTATAAAACCGTCATTTCAGACTCCCTGAAATGTATGCATCCTATAATATGAGCCGAACTGCAGCAGTCGTGTTTAAATATATCTCTTAGCAGATCACCAGCATCGTGTTCATATGTTCTACAAAAGCTGTGAAATACTCACAGTGACATTATAAGGGTGGGAATTAGAGAGGGAGGGTGAAAATTGGCTTTATCTCACAATGCAGAGGAATGTGAGATAAAGCAAACAACTGAAGAAATACACAATCTGATCATCTAAAAAAACACATTAAAACGCTGTACTAAAAAATATAATTCCCATACATGCCGCATGCTTGCATCAGTGATTGTTTAATAAGCAAAACAATGAAGTGGGTATTACCAACTGGCATTAAATAATCCAAATGTTTATAACTGGATATAACTATATTGCATTTTAGAATAGACAATTGTATGTTACTGATTCAGAATCTGACTGGGTTGCATTTTTCACACAAAATGTTGATTTGAAGTCAATCTGGGATCAAATCATAATGTCAAAATAAATTGGAGCCTTTTGCCCTGTAAAATACCTTGAGTTAACATTTGTTGACAACTGGAACAATATATATAAAAACTGAATGCAAGCAAAGATCACTAGGGCTAAAACAATCAGATTAATCATGAGTTATTGATTAACAAATCAATTAAATAATCCTCAACTAATTAAGTAACCGACTAAACATAAACTGGAGTATAGAGACTCTAAAACGTGTCTTTAGGTGACAGAGCGACCCATTTAGAGCTGTAATTATACCAAAATTGTAAAAAAAAAAATACATGAACATTTTGCATTTAAGATAAAAAAAAAATATTTTCCGTCTGTCAATATGCTCTATCCAGAACAATTGGAAAAGTTTTAGTTTCAACTGATTTAATTTAGCAAAAAGTCTTATTTAAAGGATCTTTGGCTACCCGATTATTAGTCCATTAATTGAAAAAAAATAATCTACAGATCAATTGATTTGCAAAATAAACATTTGTTGCATCCCTACCTGACAGCGTGTGCAAAAGACATTTATATCATAATATATAATTGTAAACTGAACCATTGTAGTTTGAAAAATGACTTTGAAGATCTAAAATTAAGAGGAAGAGAACTTGCCTTGCAAAGTTATTCAGTGGTAAATCTCACAGTATCACAAACACTGGAAAAGCAGGCAGGCTACCCTGCTCCCTTACAGCTTCTTAATAATACATAGGCATTGAATATGCAGTGGTTAATGTGATCCTGGGACTCTGGTGTCACAGAGGAGGATGGAGAGGGTGGAGGGCTGGAAAACTGCATAGGCAGCACTTAGAAATCTACGGAAGAGGATTAGGGCCACTGAAAAAACAAAAAAAGTTAACTGATTTTAAAATTTTATTTCAGTATAATGTGAGGAAAAAAAAGTCAGAATTCTGACTTTACTCTCAGAATTCTGACTTAACTCTCAGAATTGTGGATCTTAATGTAGATGGGCACCATGAAGGAAGAGTTGTGTGAGCACTCAGCTTCACTGACAAAGATGTGAGTTGTTTGAGAGGGCCAGTAACACATTGGTGGAAAGTAATGCAATTAGGCAACTTTTTACGTGCCCGATGGGTCCCCGGTGCTGCTATTTCATTAATGGAAGAGCAGAAGGTGATTAAAAGAAGACAGCTAGTCTCTAAAACAGACATGGCTATGGCTAAAAGCTAACATGTTGGTTGAATTCAGTCAAAATTCTGACAACTAAAGTCAGAAAATTCTGACAGAAGCTAAAGCTAAATTCTGACAGAAAAAAGTCAGAATTCTGAGATTAAAGTTGGAATTCTGAGATTAGAGTAGGAATTCTGAGAAAAAATGTCAGTATTCTGAGATTAAAGTCAGTATTCTGAAAAAAAGAAAGTCAGAATTCTGAGATTAAAGTCAGAATGTTGAGCAAAAATGTCAGTATTCTGAGATTAAAGTTGGAATTCTGAGATTAGAGTAGGAATTCTGAGAAAAAATGTCAGTATTCTGAGATTAAAGTCAGTATTCTGAAAAAAAGTCAGAATTCTGAGATTAAAGTCAGAATTCTGAGAGTATTCTGTAATTAAAGTCAGTATTCTGAGATTAAAGTCAGAATTCTGAGAAAAAAGTCAGTATTCTAAGAAAAAAAGTCAGTATTCTGAGATTAAAGTCAAAATTCTGACTTTTATCCCATATTAAACTGAAATAATATTTAAAAATCAGTTAACTTTTTTTTATTTTTTCATTGGCCCTATTCCTCTTCCGCAGAAATCTATCTCCAAGATGGACAGGGTTTTTTTCTTTAAGGGGTTATTCACCAAATTAGATTTAGTGTCACTTTGATTCAGGAGTAGCTGGGTGAACTGCAAAGCAAACAAACAGGCGGCGCCCTGCTGCAGCAGGGGGACAATGGACAACTGATGAGCTGAAGAGAATCACTATTAATACTTTATATACATCATATTCAATAAAATAATTTCCCCCCAAATATAACCCCAAGTAAAAACCTCCAGCGGATAAATTGGATCAACAACGAATACGAAAATAAATCAACCAGAAACAAACAAACAAAAAAAGAGCCTGTAATCGAGCAGAACACCAGCTATAATGAGAAAGGTTAAAGTTAAAGAGAACACACGGACTCTGACAGCTACTTACATATTCCTCCTAAAACCCCGGCGATTTTGCAGAGCCATCTGTACCACCAGGTCATGCCATCTTCATCCGGAGCGGCTTTGCTGGGCGCTGCTGCCTCTTCGGAGCTCATCGTAGCGGGTTTTCTGCTCCCTCAGTCAGAGATCAGCTACTTTAACTTAGCGACAAAAAGGCTGGTAATTACCTTAATATCCCATCTACTGAAAAAACAAACCAAATTCCAGATTTTTATGCTATTTTTAAAAATATTAATATTGTTTCCCTCGTCTGTCGATAATCAGCTGCTTTTTGCCCACGGTCCTCTCTCCCCGTCACCCGGACCTAGCTAACCCCGGCTAGCTAACCCCGGCTAACTATGGAGTAGCATGGCCACCAGCTGCCGCTAGGAGAAGATGCCACCACTGCATGTATCCTTCCACTTAAATTTCCAATAAACTAAATATCAAAACTTTATTACAACGGATAGAAAATCTATTAGATTGGGTTAAGATAAATAAAAGCAGCTCTGCTTTGTTGCTCGCGCTGGGAGCTCTGCTACGTCAGCACAGCGGTACTTTTGGGAGGAGTCTAAAATGCGTCAGTCTTTGTTTACAGATGTCTCCACATCTGTATGTAGCTTTAAATGGGTTTCCTACTATTATGCTCGCTGCAATAGAAATACATTCTAAACATAAATTCATAATAATTGTATTACTCGTATTTTTGTCAAATGTAAATATTTAATCATTCTAATTACCGCGTAACACTCATATAATACTGGACTTCATTGGAAACGTGTCAAATTAGTAAACATTTCCATGATCAAGACACAGAAACGAACCATTTGAGTTCAAATACACCTTTGGAACTAGCTGGGCTTTATATAAATACTGCATACAACATTTCTATGTTTTACTTGGAAGGAGCTGTCTTTTATCAAGAACTGGGGAGATGCTGACCTCAAACGAACAGAGGCGTAGCTAGAACATTTCTATGAGGGTGGGCAGGCAAAAACCGATCTACACAGAGGGGTGGCCAAAAGTGGATCGGTGCCAGAACCTCAGGGTCAATCTACACCTTTCCAACAGGAAAATTAATGAGCAGAACATCCATATTTTCTAAATAAAGACAAAATATCCTTTCCTACAGCCTTAGCTAAAAAAATATACGCATATATTTAAACATCTTCCTAGATAAAGGTATAGTGGATACTATTCTTTCAGATTTGAGTTCTGGGGCTCACATATTTTCCTTTCTCATTAGTTACATTTATCAATAATCATTCTGCAAAAATAATATAATGACAAGTAGTAATATCTACATAATAGTTATCATAGTTATCTATGATTTCAATGAATACTCCTATATGATTTGCAGAGACAAATCATTTTCTCGTTACCCCATATAACACAACATCTAGTTCTCTTCTGACATCTTTAATGACAGAATATTGATGTCCAAAATTAACCAGTGTTTTTGTTGTCAAGTAAATGTTAATGTATGAAAAATAAAATGTTTTGAATATTCCTCTTCAGACTGGCCCCCCATCTAGTAGCTCCGCCCCTGCAAACAAACTGCTTTAATCAACACTTCAGATTGATTTGAGCTACTATTGTAAAAAAATAGACGGGAGACATCAGAGTTAACTGTCTCCATGCTATGCAGCATTTCTGGATTGTGAGTTCAGTGCGGTTTGAAAACCTCACCTTTCAAGACTAATTTCCAGGTTAACGTAGGTAATCCTAAATATACTTTCAGTTTCTAAAAGTCACAAAATCTTAAAGTTACAACACAAAATTTGACATGCCATTTGACGCTGAGGTCAAAAATTGCATCATGCATCATCAGTCACATCCCGATTCACATCTTATGCCTTTATAAGACACTAAACCACCAGTTTGATATCTTAAAAGCGAAGTGAACATTTACTACATAGGCAATGCAAGCTTATATTATTTCTAAGAAATGTATGTATATGAAGACAGACCAGCACTGTTATAGAGTATAATAATCATTGTTATTGAGTAGCTAAATGACTGGTAAAATCTATGTCCTGCAGCTATAACCAACTGTTTTTATTACTCTTAACAGTAATACTGGATTTGTATTTCGGGTAACTGCAGAACTGGCCATGCTCCCCAGAAATATGTCATGTTGGAGTGTTAATATTTAAAACTTTGAAAATCTGAAATATGGCAACAAAAAGAGGTTAGTGATCTTTAAGTACAACACATAATTATAAACCACAAATAGCTAAACTAGTATAAAAATATGTTGATAAACACACTTGACTTATAATTAGATGCCAAATAATACATTCATGGCTTCAACATTACGCTATTATATAAATAGTTCAACTTTAATTGTACCGCATGCTGATAAGATGAAGGTATTCTCAGAACCAGATTTATTTTTAAGTATTTTGAAAGGAAAAATCCTATTCGTCGTATGAAAAGAATCAGGTTCTCTATTTTTTTTTATGTTACCTGTAAGTCAGATTAGCTGCCACTGGAGAAGTGTCCTTGTTTGTTTTGTAAATGGAGATACATTACAAGCAGATATGTCGGCAGTTTTCATGGATATTACATTACAATTCTCCCAAACACAACAGAAAATATCCCCAAATTGTCAAATAAAGATTTTTTTCTTTTTAAGTGAACATGTCTGAATGATTATTATAAATATAACAAGATATATGTTTCATTCTAAGGTTTTGCCAGTCAGTTTCTGGATAATCATGACCAATCCAATCACAAAAGCATCAGTGATGCCTCAGGTTTAAAAATGTTTTTACAAATCAGAAATGTACTTATCTCTGTGACATCAGCTCTACAATTTCAATGATTCATTTTACAATAAACACTGACTACATTTCTGTACATAAGGTGCTGGCTGACAATTATTACTCTGCAGTAACCCATCTTCTGCATATGATCTCAAACCCAGCATTTTGATTCCAAAAAAAGAGAGAGGTTAAATATTACTTCTCTTTATTTTAAAACCATTTATTATTAAATATTTGACAAACCTTGAATCACTCCTTCACACATCTATACAGAATATACACACAGCCCTCCTAAATCACTGTTATGTTAACATGGGATTCTTAGCAGCAATGTAACACAAATATTGTTGTTCTCTTGATGATTTTAAAATGTGTAAAGAGAACAGGAAAATAAGGAGTAAAATACTTCTCTGAAGACCAAGCAATCCAGTAAAGAGTTGGCTAGAAAGAGGTAATTTGGATGCACAGTATATGACTACAGAGTAGTGATCTGATTCCTTTATACCTCTTAGAGGTAAAGAATAGCTTTAAATAACCAACAATGCTTTCATTTTTCATGGCAATAAGCTCGGGTTCAACCTGGGAAGTTTTACAATGCAATAGAAGAGATTTGAGCTGCTTACTCTGGCAAGATTAAAGTATTTATTCCTATCTTACTCTGCCCATTTAATACATGCGAGGTAAACACCACTGGCTTTCATGATTGTGCTGGTAACAGAGCTCATATTTCAATGTGGCATTAAACTTTTCTCATCCTTTAGTGAGAAAGCTGATTTTAAGTGTTGGTACTGGGCGTCACTCTGACAACAGATTGGACTGCAGGGGCCTTAAAGTTCTCCGGCTGGTCCTCCTCTCCTCCTCCATTAGAGCTGGTTTCCTCTTCCCCGTCGGGGCACGGCATAGCATATCGTCGAGGGTCTGCTGAGTCACCTGAGAGGCCCTTTGGAGCTGAGCTACTATCTGCTCCACTTTCATCTCGAGTGGTCTACCTTCACTCCTCAGACGGAGTAAATCCACCTAAAAACATCAGCAGAGTGTGACCAAAAAATATTCCTTCTCTTTAAAACCTCACGCATTTTGTGACCTTACAACCTAAAACCTTTTATGAATGTCATGTGACAATTGTGGCCTACATGGAAGATAAATAAGAACACCATGAGACATTCATTTTAGAGGTTACTGCAGGTCAATTAGGGCAAAGATTCTCAAACCTTTCAGCTTCTGACTTACAAACTTAACCAGAGTCAACCCATGAACCAAACTATTGGTTGAAAAAAAAAAAAAAATACTGCACATACATTTCTAAAAAGTCAATTAATCAAGGGTTTAATAACATTACAAACGACAGGAGCAACAAAGGTAGCTGGTTTTGTCAATTTTTAACTTATGCTCTTAGATTTTTAAGCACGTGAAGTAACAGAAATATTTGTTATTTAGTGTAATTTCTGTAGTGGATATAAATATCCTATACTGGTTGATCAAAGACTCTAACTTTGGGAGTTAATGATCTATTGGACCGAGCAAAAATGTGGAACAAGGTGAGCTCTTTGGGACCAAAATTGATACTTTTTGATTTGCATGATGAAGTGTTTAGTTGGTCAGAGCTGATGGAAGAAAATGATGCAGCTTAATGTAATACTGGGATTTGTTTGTAGGCCAGATTACAGCAAACTGGAAGAAAATCTGTTAGATTCTAGAGAAAAACCTAGAGACTCAGGTGGAGCATCACTGCCTGGAATGATTAAAGTTGAACCATATTAATGTATTAGAACGGTTCAAACAAAATCAACCATGACATAGACGCAGATATGTAGCATTACTCTGAAATTGGTGTTCCCAGAGGCTCACCATCAATAATGGCAGAAGCCTTAGTTTCTAGATGTGCAAATCATATAATCCAAAAAGTTTTGGAAAGATGGTTCAACAGAATATTGACTAAGTTGGGGCTTAAAGAGATGCACACAACTGATTTTTGATACAAGTGATAAAAACCTTTAAAATCCATTAATCATTTTCAAATATTCACAATTTTTGGTTATTCTATCTAATAACATTTAAACAGCATTTACTTAAGATTGTGGTTGTATTTAAAAAAAAATGTGAGAGACACTGTTGATCTTTTTAAATTAGTGAACACTATAATGAGTATTTATACGCTCTTCTCTTGTTTAATCAGCATTTGTTATCACTTACCACTTCCTGGGCAAACTCTGTCTTCTTCACAAAAAATGGACTTTTGGGTAACATGGCTGCTGACAGGACAGAAAGAGCCTCTGAGATTTCTCCGGACATTGCTAGGATCATAATCTGTAACGTAAGTAATAATTAGATATATAAACTTTAAAAACAAATAAACTAAGGCTAGATTTAACTGAATTCTGTGCATCATATTTACCTTTAAGTTCTGGCACAATATGCTGTCACTGCTCATAATTTGTGAGTACATATACTTTGCCTTTTCTAGATTGTTCTGGAAAAAGAAAAAAAAGAAAAAAAGGGACTTAAAATAAATGAAAACACCACAAACATCTGCAACACAAAGACAATTGCAAAGAAGGTTAAACCCACCCGTTTTAGAGCTAATGCTACAGCGAAGCAGTATGCATGGCGGGGGATGAATTGTCCTTTGGTCTGTTCCTCTTCTATCAAAGACAAGCAGATTCTGTAGGATTCTGCTGTATTCTAAACAAAAAAACGTTGATTATTTTTAATGATTAGGGTAAATAGGAAGCATATAAAAGTGACTCTGTATGATTTCCTTCAATATCTGTGAGAAATATCAACAACAGCACATCACCCTTGGTTCAGTGTTATTACAATAAATTTATTCAATTAATGCTTAAACTAAGTTTCTATTATATATGGTTTTAATTAAATACTCTTCTAGCCTCATTTTACAATTTTTTTTCAATTGTAAAGGTTAAATGATCATTTCTTGTTTAAATTCATAAAATATCAATTTATGTTAAATTTCCTAGGCGATCAATATTTATAAAATCAAATTTTATTCTGTAGCAGCAGTAATAAAGTGGCTTTTTAAACAGAAAGGGTTCCAGACCTGTGTGTTAGCAAATTTTACAACAAACTTTACCAACAAATGTTTTAACACTCCATTAATTTTAAGACATTTAGTGAATCTACACCTCTTGGCTTTGATGTATCTCATCAATATTTCATGTGGTAAATAAGCACAATCTAATCTAAACATTACCAGCTTATAGCAGGTACCGGTCGCCAGTGTCACTGTGTCTTTATTGAATGGGACTCCTTGGCTCCTCATGGTTCTTAAAACTTCCATAGCACCTAGAACAATACATATATATTTATATATACACACACACACACACGTTTTTTAGATTAGATCAAATCATTTTACATGTGGACATCCAAAGTTATTCTGCTTCTTACTTTCATATGAGCCTTTAATAAACAGCATGTTGATGGCGATGTTAAAGGAAGTTGAATCAATGAAAAAGCCTTTCATATTCTGTCCAGAGAGGAAAAAAGAAGCATTATTAGTACCAGTTAGTTCAGACTTGTTGATATAATCTATTATACTTAATCATCGGAGTTCCGGTGGTTGTTTCTTTTACCTTATCTAGTAGTGTTTCAGCAGCCATCCCTTCCATTCCCAGCTCATAGCAAAGCCTCATGAAGAGAGGCCCAAACTTGAAGTCTCCATACAAAAGGTTACGGTTTTCCGAGTGATACCTGTTGACATTTAAGAAATGCGTTACTCACTTTCATAGTAAAGCTAAAGGCTTGTAACCTGACAACAGCCAGATGCATGTCTCAATCCGCCTAGCTCCGCTCACATCACATATGTGAGTGGAGCTAGGCGGAGCGAGACATGCATCTGGCTGTTGTCAGGTTAAAAGGCTTGGGGCAGCTAAGCAGAAGAAGCGCGTACCTATAGACGGCTTCCCTGGCTACTAGCATATCATCTGGAGTTTGGCACAGGTGGAGAAGCAGCTTCAGTTCATCTCGCAGGATCAGCTCATTCCTCTGCATCTTTGCTTTGAACAACTCAATATAATTGCCTGTGGAGTTGTGTTAAAAGTTGAAGCTGATTTGACATCAAAACTGCAGCTCAGTAACAAACCTTTACTTACCTTCTGAACCGTTAACCAGATGAGCCACAGCCAGCTTCCTTTGCTGGAAATCCTGCAGTCTGATGACATCTTCTGACAATAAATGTCTCTTAGCTGTAGATAGAAATGGAAGACAGTAATACATTTTTACAAACACCGGTTAAAACAAAGACAATGGACTAGTCTTTTATTAAAATAATTCATAGAAAAAACAGCAATGTATGCTTGTCTGTCTCCTTAGATTATTTTAAGCAGCAAATGCTACCATAGAATTAGCAAAAATGTGTAAGAGAGGTTGCTCTGACTTAGATGAAGAATTATTTGATATCATAGCTCAATATTTTCAAATAAACAACACAGATACATGGCATTCCTCAAGGTTCAACACTTGGAAACATTTTTTTTTTGTATTATTATGGATTTCTGTGAACTTTCCAAACTGCCTGAACCTTTGCATTTTTCACCTACGGTGTAAAATGTTTTATTGCAATTAGCCACTTCTTTTTTTATTGATAGTAGTGTGAACATAATAGTTTGCAGCAAATTCATTTCCTTTACATGAGTAAACCGCGTTTGTTATATTATTATTCCAGCTTGAAGATGGCTTTTACATGCCCCAGTCTGTGAATTGGCGGACCGTTTCTTCAATTGAATAAGAGAAGACAGTCGCTGTAAGTTTCCATTCAGTTTCACTTACCTCCAATGCAGACCTGAATCCAGTCTGGACGTAAAACTCCTCTAAAAATCCCTTTATTTGGTCTAGAAAGTAACGACCGACAGCATTTAACGGCCAATGTCCCCAGCAGCGCCATGACACTGATCGACCGAACCATAGCTATGGAATGTAAAGGGGTGCTGTGTGGCACAGAACTGGAGTTCTGACAAGCCGGTTCTCATCATAATTAGTAACCACAAACACCAAACAGTAAATTATAGTTTATTTTCATATTTAAAAGCATTCATATATTATTGAAGAGAAATGTAACATTAGCTTAAAAGATTGACAGTTCAGATACGATCGTTGGTATCTTCCAATATGGCGTCACGCTCTGTAAAGCAGGCTCCCTCTTGTGTCTCCTTTTTTACCCCGTAGGTGGTGCAGTTATACCGTTTCTGCTCAGTTCAGTGAAGAGTAGAGCGTTAATAATAATAATAATAATAATAATAATAATAATAATAATAATAATAATAATAATAATAATAATAATAATAATAATAAATAAAAAAAAAAAAATAATAATAATAATAATAATTAGCATTGTACAATAATCCAAAGAAAACAATTACTCTCAAAAACTGCAGTGCTGACTTAATTCATGTGTTTCACAATTCAGACCAATAGATCCTGGTTGAGAAGAGTGATTTAAATATTTATCTTAGATTGTACTGACTGTACAGATGACTGACATTTTATATATTTTTTTAATATTTTAATTAATTCAAAAATGTCTATTATTAATAGGATTACTGTTAGATGTGGGTCTAGTAGTAATAGGTTTTGTAATAACTTACACAAAATGAAAAAAATATAAAACTATTACTACACCTCTTATAAATAAAATATTCTATATCAAGGATGTTGAAGTTAACTAAGAGTCACATTTGCCTTTGGTTTTTCGAAATCAAAATATCCACATCCAGAAGAGCTGTATAGCCCTTTAAAAAGATGACAGATTTTTAAGCAGGTCTAAAAACAATGTGCTCATTTTATGAATCATAAATCCATTTTTTGGGGGGGGGGTTTGAAAAAAGGAGGAAAAAAAATTACCCTTTTACAAAAAGCAACTAAATATTTAGATTTTGAAGTTGGCAGTTTTTTTTTTAAATTGTATTTAGGAAATTGATGGAAAATGAACATGTATTTTGAGTTTTAATGATTAAAGAAAAAAACATTTTAATTCTGTTGTGAAATTTTTATTTGAATATTTCATAATGAAGATATTATCTATTTTAATTACATTTGTACTTAAATGGTTGCTCTGTTCTTAATTGTTGACCATATCCTGTCAGTGTGGATACGTGATTCCTGAGATGCATATACCAGACCCCTGTCTATAAGCAGCGATGTTTTTAACTCTCTCAGAATCAAATCTTAGTTATATGGAATTCTCCATGCTCCACTTCAAACCCTTAAATAGTAACAATTAAAACTACAGACAAAATTTCATGACAGGCAAATGAATGTGTCCTAAAGAATATTTATAATAATAAAAACCTAATCTTTTGGTCACATGTTTATTAATTTAATTTAGTTACTTTTGTATTTTCTTTAATGTAATATAATAAGTTTATACCTCTTCAAGAAAAATAAAGTGTTGGAAGAAACTTCATGATTCAAAAACATCAAAATATACATAGGTGGACAATATAAGTCAAACCAATTTTGAGATTCAAAACCATATATAAAGAAATGTCTCTTAAAATGGACACCTGTAGGTGAACTTCGCAATGAAATACTGGAATGCAATCTGTGCTGCACACAAAATCCTGTCATACTGGTGCAGATCAGTCATTATAACTACAAGCTGCACTAAGCGTCACTTCAGATCACTTTAGTTTTATGCCCCCATTGACCTGAACATGATTACATAACAGCAGAGGGGCATCCTTAAAAGTGTTGAGTTTTACTCTCTCTGTAAAAGCTTAATTTAATCATACATTTAGATAAAACCCTTTAAAATACTTTTTAACTTCACTGTTTAATAGTACAGACCTCACATTGTTTATATGGCAAGTCTTAAATATTAAATGTACTGCCTATGTTTTCCTCATCAGCTATTAATAAATCTGTAAGAACACCTTTCAGAGGAGCATCTATCAACCCTGCACCTGTTTAGAAAAAACAATTTTTTTTTTATAAGTTAACAAAAATAAACCCCTAACATTGGATGCTTCGATAATAAAAACCTATGTTAAACAGCCATGCCGACAGAAAATAGTGTCGGGACAGGGCGGTTCCCCTCTGTTGCCCTGGCAACTTGATCTCAGCCTATCCAACTGAGATAGCTCAGCCAATAAGAGGCAGGGCTTTAGATAATTTATGGCATCCTAAAAGGTGCGAGGCTCTTTCTCTCTTTTTCTTCACTCATTCAGTATATAATTGCACATCATTGTATACTTTTCAAAGATAAAACAGGATAAGCAGCATTTTGGTTGTGTCTTTTTGAGCTAAGGGACGGCAGCTTTTAGATGTTTTTTGATTTATGCTCATGTGCACATCCCTTTGGTTTTGGAAAGTGCCTCGGGTGTCCCATCATCATTAATAAATGTCCCCACCAAAACGGTTTTGGAAGAGGGTGCAAACAGCTGGAGCAGATGGCTGTCTATGCCACTACCCTTGATAGAAAAAACCCCTCTATCTTTAGAAAAATCTAGGGTCTCTGTTTTTTAGCAAACCTTTTGAGAGTGACTTTGATCACTCTCAAAATGCAATGCCAATCAGGGTTTGTTACAAATATGCTATTCTAATGTCTCACGCATGATCTAGTGAAGTGGCTGGGAGATTTCTTATTTGTATGATTATTTTCTTACAATATTACATATTATGACAGTACATGACAAGAAATAGAGGTGTGCAATTAATACATTTGCTAAAGTACTCAGGAAAACATGGGTTATGAGGTAGAAACTGTCTCCTGTAGCTGTTATTAAATAGGCAGAATTATTGATTATCATGATCTGCTGTTTTTTTTATGTCTAATTCCAAATTTCCCTCTGATGCAACACAGAGTAGAGCCCAAAAAAAGCCTTCTCAAAGTGTGGATGGGGGAGCTAGAACCCATAATTGTCACTGGGAAGTGAAGGGGAGGGCCGCACCCTTTTCAGATTGCCTGTCTAACACAGGGCCGGCGCAGTCATGCATCTGATAAACAACCCACTTAAATGTCAGGCTAAAGCTGTCACCTTGACATGCTTGCTTGCAACTGACAAGAAGCTAAATGCAACAATCTCTCAGCTGGGTGAGAAGACAGTTATTGACATAAATTCTGTGTATTTCCTATTCAATTTTAAGATATTGTATTCTATTAATTTCTCTGTCAAACAGGAATGGGCTTAAATGAGAATATTCAGAAATGATAACTTTGATTAAAAAAGGTGCAGTGTTACTTTAAAATAAATAAATGTGTGTAGTGGAAGACGTTTTAAAAATTAAATTTTGTCCAGAAGTCACTATGGCTAATCTACCAGCAGCTTTTTTGAAGAAATTTAGACGTAATGAACATTTAGTGGTTTTTATCAGACAGAGAAAACAAATAAAATTACCTCAACAACATTAGGCAAACATTTCAATGGATTTTTGGATTTATCTGTATTCTAATCATGGGTCCTTTAGGTATAGTTAATAAATGTACATTCTTGTGTTTTTACCTTTGTCAAATTGTATCGCTTTTCGTGTGTTTTGATCTTTTCATACCTGAATACTATCTCTGCTGTCACAGGATGTACCAGGATGGTCCAGTGTTTTTAACTGGCACCTTTTGTGAAAACAGGCTTAAAAAATATAAGATTGTTTAGTGTAAAATATGTTAAACACCTGCTGTAAAATATTACACAAAGTAATATAATCAAATAAAATTGAAAATAATTTTTTTTCTATATAAATTACCAACAATACAGTTGAACAATTAGTGCACCACAAAAGCATGAAATCTAAATAAGTAATTTTTTCTTAAAATAAGTGCATTTTGTCTTGAATTGAGGAGGTAAGTGGGACACTTTGCCAATGGAACAACACAATTTACAATTAAATTAAGAAAAAAACTATTGCATTGTCTTATTTCAAGTGCATGCTATCTTATTATCTTACTTGAATAGTAAAACACTCATTCCAATGGCAGATCATCTTACTTACCTACTCAAATTAAGGGTAGATACACAAAATGTAAGAAATTTGTACTAATTTCTAGGCTGTTTTTGCAGACACAATTACTGAGAATGAGCATCAGAAACACCTCATAGCCGATGATCTGTACCTGCCATAAGGTACCTTGCTAGAATATATGGTTATATGAACACTGAAATATATTTTTTTTGTATCAAGCCATTTGATGAGTGCAGCTGGAATGTAGAAAAGAGTTATTATTTGATAATTACGTAGGAGAATGATCCAAAATATGCAGTCAAAAAACAACACTGAAAAATGAAAATAGCAAAAATATCTTAAATATTTATCTCTGTGTGCTTTTATGCAATAAATTGTTAGAGGACTAACTGCTTTCTTGTGGACTTGTAGATTTTGAAATGGCTATTGAAACATAATTTCCTTGGAGGCATTTTACAAATTCTTATCAGCGATTCCAATCAGGTTTTGCTACAAATATGCTATTTTAATGTTTCCTCCTTTATGTTGTAAGGTTAATCATTTGCATGATATCAGACAAATGTTAACCTGCTTATCCTGTATATGGAAAACAGAACCTCTGTTTCATCCGGCATCTCATTTTGCAACCATAAATCTATCATCCTTGAAATGTCTGGCGTTCAGCGCTCAATAAAGGAAAATCTCCTCCCTTGGGCTACTGTGTCACATACAGTCAGTCATCTACGCTCTCATGTCATTAACATGTCAACTCTTCTGTTCCCTGTCATTATATTACCAACCATATGATTTCATTTAAATAGAATGGCTATGAATGTTTTATAAATCACATATTAATTACACAGCTGTTATAAATACAGACAAATGGCGGATGGAGTGGAAAGATAGACTGGCATGAATACCGCAAGGTGCAAGAAGTAGGGGATCTCAAATATCTAAAACAAGAAATCAGACATTTCCCAATTCCCTATCCTGCCTTTCATTCTAATTAGTAGGACAGGATGCTACCAGATATATAAGAGGGATAATACCGAACATGTCAGTTTTTTGCCTTTGGCATTAAATTCATGTCCAATATCAGCAATAACTTAAGTAAATTCCATATTCAAAGCATGAGAGTAAAAATCTGTCATCAAGTAGTGCAAATGATCACAAGCTGATGTAGCCTTGCTTTAGTTCTTAAAAAAATGAGTCTTTATTGCCAAGAAATTGCAAAAAAAGCACATCATGATGAGTAAAAGTTCTTTGCAACCTCTCTGTGGCCATTTTTACAGCCTATACTGGTTGATACATGCATTTCTAAACCTGAGTTATGCCAATCAGGTAGGACAAAAACTAAAGATTTACATAAAGCAGTCATGAACAGCTGTTTTTCTCAAGAAATCTGACAAAGGGGCAATAGAAATAGCTTTGCCCAAGAGTCAAGCACAACTTGCAGAGAGCTTTAAATAAACCTAGAAGTAAATGTCTACTAATGGCAGCCCTCTGACCAGCATTAGTAGGCTGTTTGGGTGAAGTGTCTTGCCCAAAGATACAACACTCAACGCCAGCACAAGAGTGTTGAACCAATAACCTTTCGCTTCAGTTGCAGGGCAAACTTCTGCATCCAACGCTGTATAGGGCTGCAGTATGAAGAAATAAAAAGTAATGCCTTGCCTGTTTCTCAATAGGCCCATTGCAAAATAATCCACTGAGGAAGGAGAATCTATTAACCAAGAACATTTGGGCAGAATGACCAAAATAGAACTCTTTAAATGCCAACGAAGATCATATCTGAGGAATTCAGATGTCTGAAGGTGGGAGCATCACGGTGTGCTGTTTTTCAACATTGTACCGGTAAATGGATGGTAAACTGTAGAGTCATTCTAGATAAGAATTTGAGATTACAATCCAGAGAGCCAAGGAAGTTCTTATTTGGCCAAAATAAATCTTCTAAAATATGAACATCTTAAGATCTTTCCAAAATCTTTGAGATCTGAAGAATTAATGTCATATAAAAGTCAAAATTGCATCTTAGTAATAAGAATTCCACTTAATTGTTGTATAAATCTTATTTATCTCTTCCTAATTCTTAGACAGTTCCTGTCATATCATAGGTACCAACTGAAATGTATGAAAGTTACTCTTTGTAATGTTTGAGGATAAAAAATAAATGGCTTCAGACATAAAATAAATAAATAAATACTCGAGAAGACCATTATTCATTAACGACATATTTTATTGTGTCTGTCCTTAAGTTTGTGGTTACTCTTACATAAGATTTGCCATAACAGATACAGTATAGGACAGAATGCACACAAACATCTGAAAGCACTAAGGAAACTAATCGCTATAGGTTAAATATGAGTCTGGGGAAGGGGCAGAAAGAATGCCAGAATCACAAGACAAATATACCACGCAGCTGCAGACAAACATTATTAAACTTCTTCGAAGAGAAATACATGGCGAGAGGAAAGGCAGATAGAGAGAGAGAAATAGAGGAAGTGTAGGGAAGAAACTAGAGAAAAGTCCGTTCAGTTTAACAGTAACTACTTGGTGATGTGGTGGTAAGAGGTGCCCTTGTGGGAAAACCAGTCTGTGGTGGTATTATGAATACCTGACGTCATTTAGTAGATATCCACTGATGGATATACTAAGCTTGTAATCAGGACTGTATGTGGTTTCTTAAAAACTCCTACATATGCTGGCCTATCAATGCTGATTTGCGGCCAAAGTATTGTTAGCTTGATGAGAGTCACGTTTGTTCTTCAAAGTGTCTAATGTTGGTTTTACATACTTTCGTCAAAAAACAACAACACACAAGCCATTCCCTCTCATCTCTGTGTGTTGCCTCTCTTGGGACCGGGATTTCTTGTCATTCTTACCCATTTATTTTTTTACGATGAGCCTTTAAATGTAAAACATGTTGTGCCCTTAATCATGTTTTCTGTGACTAAAATGCCACTGGCGTTCGCTGGAGTTTGTGTAGAGTACATATGTCATTGCAAAACGTGCACAAATCACTGATTGAGTGCTTATAAAAAAAAATAAAAAATCAGGCTTTTGTTTTCTTGCAGTAATTCATTGTGATTGTTAAAAGCAAGCCTGAGCAAAAAAAAAAACAAAACAAAAAAAAGGTAAGAAAAAGCTTCAGTACATCATAACTCATGCATGTCTCCCAACCACTCCATTGGCAGCAAAGCTATTTATAATTATATTACAATTTAGAAAACAAGACATTTTAGGATTATGAAAATATCCTGCTTCACCAGCTTTACAATGGGAAAAGGCCGTAGCTTACTGATTACATAAAAACAGTTCTAGAAATAAGATCAGGTTCCCTTTTTAATAAAATTAATTCTGTAAATAAAACAGAGTTTCCAAAATGAAAGGCAGTCCTCCAAAATGTCATACAGACATATGTCCATTACATTATCTTATATAAACTAGAGAGGTTTTTGAAACCTGCTGAAGGATGGAAAAAATTAAATAACTCAGATCTTAACACTAGACTTCATTATGAAATAAACAAAAAATTGTTCAATAAATTATACATCTTAACTAACTTAAAATTTGAAGAAAAAATTATTTTAGTAGCAGCAGTCATAATATGAATGGTTGTAGCATCCCAGTTTATTATCATAATTTCTCACCAGAACTGTTTTTGTTTAGTAAATATGTGGTATTTATTAACCCAAGCCTTCAACATTCCTTTAACACTCTAAGGCAGTTGCAGAAAGTATGTTTTTTAACCTATTTGATGTAAATAACAGCTGTTATTCCATAACGCAGCACAAAGGCGCTTCATCTCAACAGTAATGAAAATAACAATAAAGGCTGACCAGGAAACTTAGTGGGAAAAAAAGCAGCATCACTATAGTAACTGAAACTGACATGGTTGAACATTCAGGGGTGTGCAGCTGGTTTATTTGGTTTCTTACCCTCCGATCTCTCTTTGACCCTTTTTTCAGGGTCAAGCAGAGACATGAAGGCCATAATCACTATCTTTTGGTAACATTGGTTAACTCTCATCTCCTATCTTAATTTCATTCAGTATTTTTGTGTCAGTTTACTCTTGGTGCTACATTTACTTCTCCAGAAAACTTTCCCTCCTGGTGTTTAATTAGAACAAGGCTACAGCTCAATCTTGCAAGCTGGGAAGGATTCGTCCTGCATGACCACTGTGCTGCTGCTGGCCAAAACCATGATGTTCAGCTCCTGTTGCTTGTCGTGGGTCTCCTGGTACCATTCCCTCATCACGTCGGTGTCATGGGTTGGAATTAAAGTGACCTAAGAAAAGAAAAGAAAGCTGCTTAATGTGTGTGGATTTCTGAATCTGCTCAAAACACTGATTTGACACAACTTTAAAGGAATAATGAAGGATTTTGCAGTGGGATTGTGTAGAGTAGTTTGAAATGGTCATTGAGTGAAATGCAATAAACATGGCAGAAACCTCAGAGGTGTTTAACTCATTGTTCTTAGATTTTAAACTTGACGACTTTGTAAAGTTCTTTGTATATTTTCAACTATACCACTTTGTACATATACAGACTGAGAATAAATAGCATGCGTAATTCTAAAAGATGTTGCAAACATTTTTCATCAGAAGAAACATTAAAAGAAAATGTGAGCAGCAAAACTCGTTTGGATGCCAGATATAGATTTTAAGAGATTGATAACGTAAAGCACTCTCATTTTAGATAAACATCAGATCAGTAGGTAAAAAGATTAGCTTTTCAATCTAATTGTACGAACAAATGCCTAGCAACTGCCTACCAAACATTGGTTTGGGTTAATCACAGTAATAAATAAAAAGTCTTAAGCTGCGGGAACCATGAGAAACAACAGGCTACGCTTCTAACGATCTTGCAATTGTTCTTTAAAGAATCTAATTGTGGATTCTGAAAAAAAAACAAATGTGATAGCAAAAGCTATATTTTGGTTTGGTAGTGGACTTTGTGCATTTTGCTTATACTAAATATTTCCTAGCTGAAACCAAAATACTTCAACGCGATTGAATGACCTGATTTGGGATAGTCTTGAATAGCTAAAGCAGGACTGGGAGAAGATGGAGAAGAAGCAGGAGGGGATAATCAAAGTGGACAGTGTTCAGTTTTAAGGCAGTGCATGTCTGAGTAAGATGGCATTATAGTTTGTTCAGTTTGCTTCTTGGAAATCAAAATCCCCCCTTAAAACAGTGTTTTTAATTTTATTTTATGGTTGTACCTGGCTGGTCATTTATAAACAAAATAGACAATGATATTCCCCAAGGGAGAAAGTAGAACACTACCGGCTAAGAGACTGCAACTTCTCAGCTCCAAGTTTATAAGTAAACCAGTTTATTTTAACCATTATTCTCAAACTGTGACATGGAAATATGCAAAACTATATAGACATCTAAAAAAATAAATCAACCACAGTAACCATATTTCAAACAACATAACTCAGCACTAAGATGACTTTAGGCCACATTTTGCAGAATTAAACAAGTTTACATGAAAATATCAGCCCATAAACAGTAACATCAAAGTAGCACCCTAAAGGCCAAATTTAAACAGTTTATCCCTGAACGAATGTTGATTTGAGGCTTAGTTACTCTTCACCATATTAGCGTTATGGAAACAATTTAATGGTGAAAAAAAATAGAACTTTACCTTAACCACACCAGCATGTACTTTAGAGCTGGAAAAAGTAATGTTATCACATGTGACTATCAAAGTTCACATGTAAGTCTGTTTACTGAATACTAACAAAACTTTCAAATCAAACTCTATATTGCATTTTCCCAAATCACTTTGCATTGAGCAAACTGCTTTACAGCAATGAACAAAATAACTACAGAACAGTTATGGTTCTCCTCTCTTGGACTTCTATTGGAGTTTCTTTTAGAGTTTTCAGTTACAGTATCTATGTCATTCTGTTTTGTTGATCTTTGGTTTCTTTTATATTTTGTGTTATATTTAAACTGTGTTTCATTTTTTGAGTTACTCTCTGTAGCCCTTTTGTCTTCTTGCCCGACCCTTACTTTGAGTTACTTCTATCCACACCTGCTCCATATCAGCTGATTAGCCCATTAGTTATTCTGTCCCCCATATATACTCCTCCTCTGCAGTTCCTCCAGTTGCTGGTTTCTCATCGTTACTTGGCTTCTCATGTGTGTTTCCCCCTGGGTTTCGGTTTCCTGTATTTTGTTCTTGGATTTTGTTTCTGTTGCTTTTTTTTATTTCATTAAACCTGCAAGAACTCATCTCTGCCTCTCTCATCTCTACATTGGGGTCCTCAACCAACCTCCACCCAATCCAGACAAACACATTAAGAGCATTATCAAGTAAAAAGGTAGAAATACAAATATGTTAAAACTAAAATATCACATTGATTTCCTAACCAGTTGTCAAACATAGTCTATTTAAAAAGAAAAAAATAATACATTTGGCAAGTTTTGGTATTCCCTCAAAAATCTATTAAAATGTCTCTGAGCATTCTCAACCTTGAGTAACCCTATTCTACATGAGCAAAAGAATGAGTGTAAAATATGAAACGGCAACAATTCAAGGCGACTCTGGTCAGTGGTCGATATTAGAAAAGAAAAAGGCTGAAATAATTTTTAAAAATATCATGGATAAATATTTGTGCTAAGTTGTAACCAAAATATGATTTTTTTTTTTAGTATTTGTGGACACTAGATATTACCAACACAAAAACATTATAGCCTACCTGCTGCTTTAATTCTTTGATGACCCAATATGATGCTAGATTTTATGAACGAGTATTCCTTAAACCAAACACAAATCAGTCCCTCAATATGATAAGCAAAAAAAAAAGAAGAAAGAAATAATGAGGAGTAAAATGGCAAATGGAGGAAATATATATATAAATGTATGGGTAGGACAAGTGTACAATAAAATATGCGGTGGAACTGTTTCTGCACTTATGAATATGTTTTGCTGGAAAATATAGAACTAAACAAATTACATATCAGGTTTATTCTGTGTTGGTTTTACTCATACAGAAAGAAAATTAATTAAACACACAGAGAAAATATGCTATAAAGCTCTGAATCACAGAACATCCTTAATGCTTTGTCATGAGAGGGAATCAAAGTGTAAAAAAAAAGCTAAAAACTATACATGTAGCATATATTTTGTCTGTTCCCTACCAGAAAATAACACTAGCCACCGTAAGTTGGTTTGATAAGCTACAGGGAAAGACAGGTTGCCTGTTATTGCGCTGCATTTTTACTGCCTTAAGTTGACAGCATCAAGACCAAAGCTACATAGCCTGAGGCATATGGCAGCTTGATAAACTCTCACTCCAGCCAGGAGACCTGTAGCAGTTGTCACATCCTCCCTGTTTATTGAACACACTATGCTCCACAGCTACAGTCCATGTTTTTTGTTTTACAGTTTTCTTTTCTGTTTTTTTTTTTCTCATGTAGATTGTTACCTAAAAATCTTATGATACTGAATAGTCCTTAGTACTTCTCATAAACCACTATTTAAAAATAATCTTGTTAATTAATGGCATTGAAGATATTTAAAAGATCTCTGGTATAGCATGATGATCAACTGAGGTCAATTTACAGTGTTGATACACATAAGTACACTATAAAAGGGTAGAAGAAAAAAAACTCCAAAGAAAACGTACCTGCATGCTGTTTCCCCACTGGGCTTTGCCTTCAAGCAAAGCATCAAGGACAACCCTACTGGGTTCCTGAGCAGTCTGATTGTTGCCACTGACCACATAGTAAGAGGACCGAACACGCTTAAAGAACTCCGTATCCACATTTTTGGCACTGCAGTGATTGGGGATGTAAACCAAATCCATATACATAGGAGGACAGCTGGACAGAGAGGGTACTTTCCCACTTCCGGTACCTGTAGAAGGAAATATTTTTAGAACAATCTCATTTCAACTGTTTTAGATAGTGTATGTTATGCAATGCATTGACTTAAAAGTGAATAATCATTCACAATAACACCCACCCAATGTAGAGCTTTTTACACCTTTGGATGCAGATGTATTGGTTGCATTTTTAACATCTTTTCCTTCTCCAACGCCCTTCTTTGGAGAAGCAGTCTTTGAGTCCTTAACCTTTGACAGACCACTCTTCCTTGCTGGTGATGATGTCTTTTTTGAGAGCTTTTTCTTTTTGGGTTTATCTACTCCATCTGTATTAGCATTATGGAGGTTTTCTTCAGCCTTTAGTGCCTCTGGGTCCACCATACAAACATCATGGTTACCTGAAGTAGGAGCAGAGTCCCTGAGTGCCAGAGGAGGAGGATCGGCAAGCCTGTACGTCAGAGTTCTGTCACTTGGCAAAGTTTCCGAGTCATCTTCAGAGTCAATGTTCGCATCTGCTGTGATGGAGGGACACTCTTCTGTCCCTGGTGGCACATCTGAGTCTGTCTGCGAGGGGGCAGATTCACTGATGGAAGTGGGTGGGGTATCCTCACATTGCTTGGCAGAGAGCTTACCTCCTGGAGGTGGAGGTCCACCCCCTGACTTGACCAGAGGCTTTTCCTCTCCCAAGGCACTTTCTTCATTAATAAAGTATTCCAGTGGGTTTGGATTGATGAATGATGGAGACAATTCAGTCTTGGGGTGACGATACTCACAAGATTTTACAAGGCAAAGGTCAACATCTGTCTTAGATGGAGGGTGGAAGGTATTTTTTAATGAGTCTGGCTCACCAGAGCCACAAGGAGAATTGAAGTTGTACGGATCAGATGAGAGAGGTAATTCTGATAATGAAGGATCTTCTTGGCTTGTTGAAGATTTCTTTTCAATTGTGGAATCATCCTCACATTTGAATGGATTAGTTTCTGTTTTCAGTGATAAACTATCCCCTTTTGAAATATCAAAAGATATTGATGGGGAAGGTGCATTTGGAGGTGATGGTGACTTGTTACATTTCTGCTCAGAATCTGATTTGGCTTCAGCAAGAGGACTGGTGACATATTTAGCTGAAGAAGCACCTAACACTGGAGAGGGTTCGCTGGAATGAGGAGACAGGGTGACAGATGAGGCCCTAGGGCTGGTTGGAGACTTATCTGTTTGTTCCACAACAGCTTGTGGGTTCTCGGTCATTTGACATGGAGTTGTAACAGAGGACTGAGATGCATCTGAAGGGGTTGCAGAAGTGGCACGAGCTGAATCACCTTCTTCTAAAAGTAATGAGTTTTGAGCACATTTTGAGTCTGTAGATACTTTAATCTCTGTTCCATCTGAGGGGCTGTAGTCTACCTCAGTTGGTCCATTTTCTGTAGCATGAGAACTGCTGCCCAGTGACTGGTGCTCTGGAGATTGCTTGTTGAAATCCAGGGCTAAGGAGTGATCAGGTGACTCCTGGCCAAATTCTATAGACATAGTGGAATGCTCTGGAGATCTTGTGTCCTGTGTCTGCTCCTTGAGTTTGGTCTTGGGTGAGATTTCTGGGGATATAGACATAGGCCTTGGACTATCCTCTTTAGTTGGTGATCCCTCTGCCTCGTGAAAGGTGGTTGGAGTCTGAACAACTGAAACAGAAAAAGAATCATCAACCTCTGTTGAGTGAGGTGATCCCACCTCGGCATGCAGAGAAGGAGAACCAGTAGTTGGCTCTGGCAATGAACTGGTGGCCAGCGAAGCTGTGGAGGCGGAGGCCAAGTGTGAAAATGTATCTTCTGCAACTACTTCTTCTAGAGGGGTTTCAGACTTGTCTGATGTGGTGCCCTCTGAAATAGACATTTTACTCTCCTCTTTAAAAGTTGTGAGAGGATTGACATCGGCTTCATGTTTGGTCAGCGGTTCTGAGGACAGGACTGAATTGCTGTCTCCTTGAATTTTCTTATTATCTGAATCGATTGGTGATGACTCATGTGGAGATTCAGGTTCAGGTATTGATGGGCTTTTTGGACAGAAATCTCCCCTCTGGACCAATGAAGGCTGTTCTACTAGTGGGGCATTAGGCTCCGGTGTAACTCTATTGTAGGAGTCTTCTTTATCACTTGTAACCTCTACAATTACTGGACCCTCTGACATGGTGGGTAGAGCTTCTACCTTCTCATCAACTGGTGACTGGTAATAAGGTGTGTGACCAGATGACTGAGGAGAACTAGCCCCTTCCAAAGGTTTATCATCAGGGCTCTTGTAAGAATCAGCAGCTCCTTGGGTGTAACTTGCTAGGGTGGATGATAGTTCTATTGGAGGAGACATCTTTGACGAGTATTCAACTTTATTTAACAACTCTGTTGAGGGAGAACAAACTAGAGGAGATGTTGTGGGGTCTGAGCTAACTTTAGCTGAGTCATGGCATTTTCCTAACTCTTGAGCGGGTGCAAATCCTCCAGCCTGTCCAATGGAGGGAACCTCCTCATAGAAATGATCCTCTTTCAGAGGTGAAGGGGGAGATACTGTTGAAGCAGAGTGGTTGTAGGCTAGCCCTTCTGTGATATCACTCTGAGAAAGATGCATCTCTGGCATATCTTGCAGTGGAGAAATGTTGTTTTTATTAAACTCCCCTGATGTTGATTTTGCAAACCTGTCGGCATCCTGTGATATAAATCCTGCCTCGTCATTGTTGGTCTCATCACTAAGAATGTCTCTTGGAGTCAACATCTCATCCATGGGAGTAGGTAAACTCGATATTTCAATAGTAGACTGTGTATAACCAGATGTGACAGTATACTCCTCTGGTGGTTCGTCTCGGTTTTCCTCATCTGAAGCTGTGAAGCTCTCAAAGCCAATAGGAGGCATTTCATCCTGGTTCGATGCAGCAGGAGAAATTGGGGAGGACACTTTGGGTGAAGTTGATTCACTGGATTTTTGCTTCTCTATTGTTTCAGGTATTATATGCTCCTCTATTACATTTTTATTTGTGGTATCATCATTATCCTCATTTTGAGCTTTTTGTTCCAGTTTATCATGTTCGGCTTGATCTTGATGTGGAAAGACAGTAAGGTTACTCTGATCTGATTCTTCTTCCTGTGGTTCGTATACCTCCTCTGTCTCTCCCTTCTCTTCATAGTCCCCTCCCTCAGAAGTCTCTTCTGTGACAGTACCCTCATCCTCAAACCTCTCACCTGTGCTGCCAATAAGTTTGCCTTTCAGGGCTTGTTCTTCTGGAGTGCCTCCACTATCTCCTTCTACCTCTGTAGTTGCGATGCCCTCATCTACAGACTCTAATCCTTCCGGTGACTCTTTGGTTTGCATCATTTGTTCATGCAGAGCCACAGGAGAAACTTTGTTCTCATTTTCCTTTACAGTAGCATCATCCTCTACCAACTCTTCAGCTCTGAGCTCCTCAAAGTCTTTTGTGAGGTCTTCTGGCGAGGACATCAGAGATCTTTCTGCCTCTGGATCTTCTACAACGGGGACAGCAGCTACTGCTGGTTTGCTTTCTGACTTTGTTTCTTTTTTTGTCACTTTTGACTTTGCTTTATCCTTTAACTTGGATGGAGCTCCCAGATCTTTCTTTGAAGAGTCATCCTTTTTCAGTGGCTTTGGTTTGAGAGTCCTTTCCTCAGCAGCATTTGACGTCTTTTTAACATCTTTAGAGAGTCGTTTTGAATCTTTCTTTTGCTCTTTTTCCTCCTTTTTCTCCTTCATTGGAGAATCTCTTCTAATATCCTTTTTCAAAACTTTCTTTGCCTCATCCTTCTTTACCTTTTCTTCCTTTTTAATTTCTTCTTTCCTTGCAACTTCTTTTTTAAATTCTTTTTTCTTTTCTGTTGATGCTTTGGCCTCCTTTTTCATCTTTTCGGCTTTGGATTTTGTATCAGACTTTTTTTCTACCGTTTCCTTTAGGTCAGTCTGATCTGCGTTTGCTTTCTGTTCTTTCTCCTGTGCCTGTGCCTTTCCTTTTTCCTTTTTTTGGGGGACTTTCTCTTTTTTCTCTGCCTTTTGAATTTTCTCAGGAGTTGATTCTGATTCTGCCTTTGCCTTTTCTGGTGTTTCTTCCTTTGAAATCTTTCTGACTACTTTGCTTGGTGATGGCTTAGGGGTAGATTTTAGGCTCTCCTTACTGTCTGTTCTGTGTTTCATCTTTGCTTGCTTAAGTGTTGGTGTTGATGGAGTACTAGAAGGCAACGTTTTTTGAGTGACAACTGCCTGTTTCAAGAACTCTAAATGCTTTAGTTTCTCTAAGCCTTCAAATATGTGGTCCTGGGTGGCATTTCCAGGAAAGAGAACCCGCACAATCTTATCTGAGGGATTTGCGGGGTGCCACACAATAAGTGAAGAGATGGAAGTCAAGTACGAAAGAGGGAATTCAGACTCTTTTCCATTTGGAAGCAGAATGGAGGTAGTGTCATTCTCACTTCCTGTCCACTGCTTCATAAAGTGCTGCATCTCCTTGCTGTTTTTCGAAGGATTGAGCACATACATTTCAAGCCTTCCAACACCCATTTTCTGAAAAAGTGTAATTGGTTCTATAGTGTTTCCTACAGGCTTTTGTAAAGTCTCAATCCTTAAATTTAGCTTGTTTAGGAACATCTGGGTTAACGCTGCCTCCTCAACATTCCTGCGCACTTTGTAATCAGGTTCAGGGTTTTCCAGGTTATCAGGGAAATTTACAAACACAACACCAATGTCTGGAGAAATCATGTTCTTCACCCAGTCGCTGTTAGCTGTTGAACCCTGTGATTGCTCCTCCTCAAGCTCTGCAATCTTCCTCTGCAGCATGCTGTTGATGCCTGGTAAATTGTCTTCCCCAATGTGAGTCAAGAGGATAGAGTCAACCCGATCTAGATGTCTAACCAACTTCCAAAAGCATGACTTCCTGTCAGAGCCACCGTTTATGAGCATGTTAAAGCCATTTACAGCAAAGAGAGCAGAGTCACCTCGACCACCAGGGAAAATATAACAGCATGGCTTAGAAAGTTTGAGGAATCCACCAGAGGTTGGAGGCTCCAACATGTCAAAAGGAGATGGGATCTCGACTGATTCTGATAAATACTCTGTGAATTCTGAGAGACCCTCCATTTCAGGAAGGATGAGAGTAGAGTTTAGTTTCATGTTAATAAAGTCCTGTAGATTGTGTTTGTCCAAGTTGGAGTTTTTCCAATCTCCTTGTTCAGGACAGGAGAGTGTAAGGTTGGCTTTGTTTGTTGGAGGAATAGTGCTGAGTAATTCACCAATCTGTATATGACAAAAAATAAAGAGAATTGTATTGTGTAAGACTTAATTCCACTTTCAAAACAAATTTTGTCTCATTGATTATAAAATGTTATTATTTTTAATATAATATGAAACACTGCTTACTTTTTTCCATTTACAAGTTTATTTAGACCAAAAATATGTCTGATCCCCTGACTCCAATCTCTAGATTTATCATAATTTTAATCCTTTAAAGAGCACTCAGTAAAATATATTCAAATTTCAAAACCATGTGAATTGAATGCATAGAAGACCTTATTACTTTTGTAACATTAAAAAAATAAAAAATAAATTTGGCACCTGGAAAAAATCAAGGTCATTGTAATCACCATAAACAGCCACTTGCTCTATAACATGGTAAAAAAAAACCAAAAAAAAACAACCCAGGATGCTTCTATAAGATATTTGTGAACAAACAATTTTTGTTACCACATAAACCTTTGAACATTAATGTTGATACATGAACTTAACTTGTTTTACTTTTTAACTCAGTTTATTAACTTGTAAATGATTTTTTTTTACTTTTTACATAGTTTTTAACACTTGCTTTTTTTTTTTTACTTAACTTATTAACTTTTTAACTAAATGAAATACTTATAGCGATCTTGCAATAGGTAGCTCATCACACCCACACTAGGCTACATTAGATTACTGGTTATATTCAGAGATGGGAAGTAACGAAGTACAAATACTTCGTTACTGTACTCAAGTAGATTTTTCTGATATTTTTACTTTACTTTACTACTTATTTTCATGGCGACTTTTTACTTCTACTCCTTACATTTTTACACAAATATCTGTACTTTCTACTCCTTACATTTTTAAAAATTGGCTCGTTACTTTAGTTTTGAATCATTTCAATGGAGTTACCGTTATTATTTTTCACGTCATCAATACCAAATTCCATCTAATTGGATGGGAATCTACGTTGCATTTGACGCACCGCTACAAGATGAATCGACAGATTCGGCGGTATTCATTGGCGGCAAATCATTGCAGCTTGGTGGCGGTGGCGTTAGCATAGTAGCATGGACGACGAGATGATTGAAAATGAACACAACGGAGATCTAGTCCTATTGGCAGACATCTATTTAAAATGTAGGCAACGGCATGAAAAAAGTGGTTTCTACTTTTACTTTTATACTTTAAGTAAATTTACAAGCCTGTACTTTGTTACTTTTACTTGAGTAAAGAAGTTTAATCAGTACTTCCACTTTTACCAGAGTATTTTTTAACACAAGTATCTGTACTTTTACTCAAGTACGGAAAGTGAGTACTTTTGCCATCTCTGGTTATATTCTATGAAGCAGTTATAGTCAGCTCTAGGAGGAAGGTGGACCACACAAACTACATTTAACCTCAGGAATTTGCAATGTTTGCAAAGTGGTGATATTCTAGTTACCAAAAATAGGAACTTGGACTATAAAGGGTTAATGCCGTTGTTAGTACAATAAAACACACCTGATGGGTTAAAAATATAATCTTTAGCTGTCTTGTTCACTCTTTTGATTATTCAACCCAATGTGTCACACATTAGGGTCTGCTGTGGAAACAGCACAATTATTACACTCACAGCAAATTCCACATGGTTTAAAACTATGTAACACTCAATATAATTGTTATTGTTTACGGTAATAATTAATCAACATCAATGGATTTAACTGAAATATCATTCTTTTAATGAATTTATCTTTTGCATACATTAGAGAAGTTATGCTCCATTTACTGCTCCACTATGTCTGGGTAGCAATTTCAAAATAAACACGATGAATACAGTGGTTTTAAAAAAATGCTAGAAGGTTTTAAATGTGGTGGTTGAAAGGTTTAGAAGTATTTTAAGCCAGGTTAGAGTCAATAGCTTCTCTGGGGTTTGCAACATAAACATAACATCTGACTATTTTCTTTTAATCTGATAATGTTTGAAGAACTGTTTAGATTTCCATAAGGATGGTTAATACTGTGCCTGGATATATTAGGTTAATACAGTTTCCTCAGTTTTAGTCTCATTATATTTGATAGGCAGTTAATAATAATCCATCCATCCATCTTCTTCCACGTATCCACGGTCGGGTCGCGGGGGTTGCAGCTTCAGTAGGGAGGCCCAGACGTCCCTCTCCCAGCCACTTGGGCCAGCTCCTCCGGGAGAATCCCAAGGAGTTCCCAGACCAGCTGAGAAACATAGTCCCTCCAGCGTGTCCTGGGTCTCCCTAAGGGTCCCCTCCCAGTGGGATATGCTTGGAACACCTCACTAAGGAGGCGTCCAGGAGGCATCCTAACCACCTCAACTGGCTCCTCTCAACATGGAGGAGCAGCAGCTCTACTCAGAGTCCTCCCAGGATGACTGAGCTCCTCACCTATTGCATATCTGCAATCACTGCGACGACCTGGTTTCTGAGTATAAACCAGCCTGCACAGTGCCCTCTTCACAGTAAACAGTGCAAAAATTTGACGGTCTATCTCCCGCTCCATCTTCCCCTCATTTGTGAACAAGACCCTAAGATACTTAAACTCTTCCACTAGGGGCAGTACATCCTCCCCAGAAGGCCCTCTTTTCTTTTCCGGCTCTAGACCATGGTCTCAGATTTGGAGGCATTGATCCTCATCATGATGATTAATAATAAGTAATAAGTTAATAATAATGTCTTCTGTTATTAAATGCATCACCAATGTCTTAATTATAATAATTTGTTATCACGCAGAGGCTGGCTTTCATATTTGTTTTGCAATTTAAAGATCAGGTTTGTTTACATGTTTGTGGTGTTACATTTGTTACAAAACATTTTTATATAAAACATTAAATTATAAATTGGTTATAAGAGGCTTCCAATCCTTTAATATGGGTGACAAGAAAGTGCACCTTTGGGTGTGTTGTGTGATGCAGTCAGAATAAGGTCTTTATCAGGTCTGGATTATCAGACCTTTTTGCGATGATTAAAGGGTTCTCTACACATAGTTTCGCAAATAATAAAGCCTTTAAAACAGTTCATTCACTAAATCATATTGACACATTTTGTTGCATTCTTCCTCACCTCCTGATCAGTGAATATCTCCATAAAATTGCAAAAGGAGAAAGATCCCGACTGAAGAATCAGCTCCCCTGTTTTTTCTGAGCACTGCCCAGAGAGGACCAGAAGCTTGTTTCTGGCTGTGTCGGAGACCATTAAACGAACCTGCATATTAAAGAGAGAAAGAATATCACCAGTTATGCTGATATATGTTGAAATAAAATGAAAAAGAAGATGTTACTGTTGGAGAAAGACAGGAAGTGGAACATCAAAGCATAACAGATAGGGGTAAAGTGATACCAAGCTTTATTGTTGCAGCGATCAGCTTAGCAGTGTGGTTTATCTTGTGTACCACCAGTTATGTCCCTCTCAAAACCATTAGCTAATTAGCTGACATGCTATCTCACTGCCCACTCATCTATCCTCTGTATCTGCTTCCCCCTTTCCCCTCCCTGCTGTTTTTTTTTATTCCACCTCAGCAGCATCAGCCATTCTGGGCGACTAGCCCAGTCAATCTTGCAGTGCTGTGACATATCGTTAATGAACCTTAGGCAGCAGACATAGATGAGGCTCTGGAGGCGCCAGTTAGAGCAATGACACAAAGCAAACTCTTGTTTGACCTCTAATCCAGAATAAACTGCTAAGAACCAAAACCACAAGCTGTACTTGCTATTCAAATGGTAATTACATTTTTCCAGGTCTCTAGATTTAATTCCTCCTATCTTGGCTATACCAGCCACCATTAAGTGAAGCAATCGTCCTTGTCAGGCTGCAAATCGTCTGCAAAGGTCTTAATGGATAAAACAACAGGAAGTCAAGCTATTGATTCTTGTTGAAGAAAATGACAACAGAGAAGGCTGCAAGGAAATAAGACATTGCCAACAGCAGATGTGGCTCATTTTACCTCAGTGCTGACGGCTTCATCCGAAGGGTTAATGAGCACAACCGTCTCCAAGATGTTACTTTTATGGTGAAGAATTCGTTGCCCTGAATAGAAGCAAATGACAAAACTTAGTTTAAATTTTTTTTACTTCATCTGCAGGGATGTAGAAAAGTATTTGTTCCATAACAAATGTATTCTGTTTTTATTTTTCTGTCCCACTGGAATATTTCAGGTCATGAATCATTTATTTTTCAAAAAAAATATCCTAAATAAATGATTAATTCATTAAATTTTCAATCCAACCTGACCCTATGTGAAACACTTATTTTTCCTTAAATCTAGTGGCTAGGTTTGCCACCCTTGAAGGCAGCAATTCCTGTCAAGTGTTTGCAATATCCATCTTTCACTTTTGATGAAGTTTGTCTGCAATATTGCGGGATTGCTGAAATAACCTCCCTGTTTAAAGTCAATTTCTGAAGGTTTTAATTAATAAAGGTCATTTTTAATTGTTCTGAGGTGGACTATTGACAAAAAGTTAAAAGTTCAAAATGACGGTTAGTCAGTTATGATTTTTTTGCTGAAGAGCAGAATGCATGGTTTTATCCACAGACGCTTGTTTATCTTTGGAAAGCAGCTGTTTCAGCTTTGGCCTTTTTGACAACTTTTTCTTTCACATTGCCCAATCAAAAACGTGATCCCAAACGGGAACAAATGAGTCCTACGATGCTCTAGATGTTGCTCTGGTTTCTTGTTTGGCCTCCTGGATGGATCACTGATGTGCTCTTGGGGTACTTTTGGCAGGCCTTCTATTTCTGGGAAGGTTCACTATTACTGCTCCCTCTTTTCTTAATGAATAGACACTGGTTCACTATGATCCTGTTGAGTCCATCAGAAATTGCTGTGCGAGGTGGATAGATGTCAATAACCTTGTTTCTAATATGTTCTTTAATTTCATCAGATTAGTGCACACTGTGTTGCTAGCTGAAATCCGCCAGCCTAATTCATGTTCCCTGACTAGCTTATTTTAATTGATTGACTTTACAGGTCAGGCAGGTTAGCTCTCATGTTGTTCTCTACTTATTAACATCTATATACCTTTAAGAACATATCGAATTTTTTTTTTTAAACAATGCTATTCTTTTTTTTTTTCATGATTATATTTTCAATTCCATGCTAGGCTGGACATTTTTCAATGCAGCATTCATTTTGGGCATTTCCAGAGCTGCCTATCTGTCTAACTTGTCCAAAATAGGACAAGTTACTGCAAGTACATGAAGCCATAAAGAAAGAAAAAATAAAATGTTTAACTGCTTGTATTCTGCCAGCGTCGATTTTTTTGGAGCACTTTTAACAACTTAGTTGTATCGTAATGAAAAATAGGAAGGTCACGCTGAATTGCCTTATTCTTATGAGGAGCGGCACTCAAACAAATTTATCATCTGATTCATCAACCGTGGATGATCTGACAGCAGCAATATGCTTGTGTAAATGTTAAGAGCCTCTGGAGCGTAAAGCTCTTTATCAACAAGATGGATGAGATCTCTGAAGGAGGAGGACGGAAAACACATTCCTTAATACAAGTTTATTTCTAAAACTGCTTCAGGACTAAATTTCTATGATATCCCACTTTGTTATATATATACAGTATATATATATATATATATATATATA